TGTGTGATTTTTAATGTCTTGTTGTTCGCAGCTTCATATCAGTGTTATTTTAGTTTTATTATAGTTGTATTCATATTTCGAATTGGCTTTTATTTTTTATATTTAATTATGTTAGATTTTATTTTTTAATTTTTTTTATTAAGAATTTCATTATGTGCTTTTGTCATTTTATTAGTTTTTTTAAAAATATTGCTATTTTTAGTTTATTTTTATTTCAGTTTTAATTAGTTTTTTTTTTTCTCCAACTTTAGTGCCTCAACTTAAACTTCTAAATGTTCTAATAAAAGTTTTTCAACTAATATTTATTTATTTTATTTCAGCTTCATTTCATTTAACAAGAGTTTTCAATAATTTTAGTTTTAACCCTGCTTTATATGTATACCTAAAACAAATTTCCCCTTATAGCGGTACAAATAAAGTATCATCATCCCTGTTCTAGTTTGTACTGCGCTGTTTGAAACTTGTCATGTTATTGCCTCCTTGATATGAATCGCTTGTTGTGTTCCTCATTTGTAAGTTGCTTTGGATAAATAAATGTAAATGTAAATGATAGGCTATTTCACCAAACTTGATTCTGATATGACATTACTTAGCAGATCTGTAGAGTAAATGCACCATGATTTTTGGGGCATAAAATATTCCTTTTCCCCTGTTTTGTTAAAAAGATTTTTATGGATCTCTAAAAGATTCTGCAAATGGAAGATTTAGTCAAAATAACCCAGGATATGCCCATAATAAATCTGTTTCATACAATAACCACTAGGTGACAGCCTTCACTTCATCAAGATATTGTGGTAGAGAGTCTCTTTCTGCAGACATACAGTATGACACAAATTTAAACCGTAAATTTGAAAATGGTGAATAAAATTGGTGATTTACAAAAAAAGTCGTTACAGTTAAAGTTTCTTGTTTTGTAAAACAATTTTTTTGAAAATCTAGTCCGTTCGATATAAGGTGACATGCAGTAGGCTAGTAGCTACTCAGTTGTGAATGAACTTTAATGTCTGAAAGTCTATTTGCCAAAGTACAGAAATGCATATCCACAACATTTGATATAGATGATTACAGGTTTAATTGTGTTGTTGCCCTTTATATTCAGACAACAGTGTACCTCAAACAAGGTCTAGCCTATAGCACAACTCTGATCAGGCTTAAGTTTGTGCACTGAAGAAAATCAGTAATGTAAGACATACAATGTGTGCTCCTATCTAGTAAAGGTTGCTGGAGATCTTATCGTGGAAATAGAACTCCTTTTCTTGCAACGAGTTCCCCTGAGACAAAAAAAGAAAAATCAATTGGTTTTGGCATAGACGGCAACACTGGCAAAATATCAAGCACTAGCCTACAGGTTCTTGGCAAACATGAAGGTGCAATCCAAAACAGAAAAGGGGCTGTTCTAAACAGGAAGGCTATTACTGAACATGCAGTATCTGCAGATATAGCCTACATTATAACTTTAAAACCTTATATTTAAGAAACACATATGTACATATTATATTTGTATTTTGAGCTGGAATGGGGTATAAACATAAGATTAGACAATATGTGATTTTTAGGGTATAGGCTACGTATATTTACACGACAACAATGTCTAAAAGTTTTTCTTTGGTGTTTTTTTTTTTACGCGTAGCAGTCACGTATCCGCGGAAAACGGCCAAAAACCGTTGTTTTATACCAGGCCAGTAGGCGATGTCACGAAACAAAGAAACAATACATACCTAATGGTATCATTTTCAAAAACATGCTCTTTGAGGGGCCGTTTACACGAAACCATTTTCAACTAAAACCGGAAAACTTTTCTACGGCATTTTGGGGGGCTGAAAACTTTTGAAAATAAGTATCAAAGTGCAAGTTTTTGAAATCGATACTGTCATCGTCTCCGTGTGAACTACAAAAACGCAAATTTGTGAAAACGGTGACATGTATTATTAGCCTACATAAAAGGCGCCTGTAATGTTTCTTTACAAAGTGACATCAGAAACTACTGGCCTGCATGCAGAACACAGCTTTTTTTAGTATTTTTCATGGATCCGTGTGAACGGGATCATTTTGACAATGTTAATTGTCTTCTGTAGGCTACGCCAAAACCGCAAAGGAAAAACTTTTCCATCTTTAGTGTCGTGTAAACGCACCCTAGAATGTTTAGAATAGATGCATGCTGTTTTTTGGACTCACCTATTCAGCTGTATTTGTAATTGCGATTTCTTTACTTGGAAGCAAAAACTCATTACATGTTGCGTTTTCAGTATTTTATTGGCTCCAGAGCCATTGGTGCTCTATTACACAGCAACTCGGAAATTAAGGGCTGTGTCTTTAAAAGCTGTCATGTTACAAGCACCAGATGGAGTCCGGCACTACCAGGACATGGTGGGAAGAACACATCAATTCTTTCCAAAGAAAGCAAACTGGGTGTGGACAGTGTAGAAATGTCATTCATTACAGATAAAGATCTTACATGTGTTTTTTTGTCACTGAGTGCATCACCATACATGAAAGTCACCAAAGTTCTCTTTACACATTGATCTTCCACTCTTAGAAGAAAATGTATGATTTATGTATAATGCATTATAAAAGTATTTTAATACAGTAATTATGCCGCATTATAATGCACTGTTTGGTCTCATAAATAATTGTCACCACAGTTCAAATACACCTTTAGAGAGTATAATGCACAAGTTAAACACAACAAACAACCTATTTCAGATGGAATCTGTGAATAGTATAATGCAATTAAACTTTGGTTATAATTATTCATGAAAAGATATAATGGATTATTTATGAATACTTTTATAATGCATTATACATAAAGGCTTTAAGTAAAGTGGTACCGAAAATGTCATGTAGGGTTCTGTCAAGCACTTCATATACAGTATAGAGCATTTTAAATGTGCCCATGGGATCGTTATGTGGATTTAGTTTTTAATTTATTTATTGTTTTAATTTATTTTTAATTGTAATATTTTTTTTATGAATTAATCAGCTCGTAAACATACTTTATCAGTTGAAAAAAATTAAATAACTCGTTAAACATGAAAGTATTGTTCAATAATTTAGGATATTTCTCCTTTTTGGCATATAATAAAATAAAATAATAATCATTATTTTTTCTTGGTTCCATTACAAATATCTAAACATTCTTACAAATATTATTATTACTATTAATTTTTTTTTTTTTTTTTTTTTTTTTACAAATTGTGTGAGAAAGACTTACTTAGAGACTATCTTCATCCTAAAAATGTAGGCATAATTAATTGAATTAATTTGTACAAATTTATTTGATATGTTCTCTGAAAATGTTATTATCTAATGATAAACTTTTCCTGGAACTTGTAGATTTTTGTTTAAATAAATGAATTCAAGATGTTCTTTGAAAACATTATCATCTCATTTTAATTAGAAACTTTTACTGGCAAACAAGACAAAATGCTGATTAAAGAAGTTGATTTTTACAGTGTAAAGTTATGAAAACTGTACATGGTTGTTTAAATCAATTATAATGGTAACATCTTGGCTCGTCTCAGTGTGACCATTTGAATTATGTAGCATATAAAACTATCTGAGACACAGTTCTTAGTTTGATGTCTGCCTTGGGACAGATGAGAATGAACATAAATGTTTCAGACAAGAGTTATTCAGTGCATTGGCAGGGCAGCAGCTCAGCTTTCTGTTCAACATGCAGCTCTACACTGGCCAGCATACAGTTCATGTTCCCTTGTCAATAATTACTTCTGATGGTAACTTATGGTAACAGTAATGATCATAATGAGCAAAGAAAATCAGGCATTGGTGGTTATTTCATAGTGTCCACATGCTGTGTCATGGAAAAAGACTACTAAATAAAATACCTGCTATGAGCTGTTCAGTGTATTGTATTTAATATATTTACATTTGTTGATAGTAACAAAACTAATAGGATTGTGGCTTGTGTGCAGAGCTGGAAATTATTTACAGGGCCCAGATATACCTGTTTCACCTGTACAATAGAAAGGTAATACTGAAGCACAGTTAACCCTATCATGTCCAGATACAATAACAGTCTTAACAGTCTATAACCTTGAACATAAAAGTCTTGCCACGTTACAGAATGTGAGTTTCTCTGCAAGTTGAGGGCGTTGTTGAGTCAACATTTGAAAGAATTACAACATGCTTACATATTCTGAGCATCCTCCAGCACTCCATTATGATGGCTTATTTTGTCATTTAATAGGGTTTTTTTTATTAAAGAAAACTGTTTTAACTGCTGTCTATAACTTTAGCAAGCACTGTGTTCAAATTCTTAACCATTTATGCACATTGTTCTTATTTGTAAATTAAACTAGTCAATTTTCTCTTAATAAAATAGCCTAACTTGATTTAATTTCTGATTTAATAAGAGCATTTTCATTTGTCTGTGGATTTTCCATGTATTCACTCAAATCAATTAGATGTTGGAGCTTCACATTGCTATTTATATATACATTAAATGTTAAAGATTAAGTAAAAATGGTTGATTCTTAAGAAATACATAATGAAATTTCATAATTGGACAAACAAATAAAAAAAGAAATAATGGTTGATTCTCAAAAAACAATACAATTCCATGATTGGACAAAAACAAACAAACAAACAAACAAACAAACAAACAAACAAACAAACAAACAAACAGCTAAATAATGGTTGATTAAAAAAAGTATTGCATGATTAGAGAAAAAACAAACAAACAAAAAATGGTTGTTTCTTAAAAAAATCATAAAATTGCACGGTTGTACACAAACAAATAAACAAATAGACAAAAGGATATAGATAGATAGACAGACAGACAGACAGACAGACAGACAGATAGATAGATAGATAGATAGATAGATAGATAGATAGATAGATAGATAGATAGATAGATAGATAGATACCGGGAAAATCTTTTAAAAATATATGACAGTATGAATATTAAATGACGCACAGGGGCTCTTGAGTGTTCAGCTGAACTCCAGCCTTCCCATAATGCTCTGGTCACGTGGTTCACTTTATGAAGCCCAGACTGTCAAATCTGAAACTTCCTGGGGAGCGATGCAGTAGCCTACATGCACGTCTATGACATTTACTTCAGACATGTAACTCGTCAAAAGATCACCCGTTTGTAAAAAGTCCAGCTACTTAAAGCGATTAGCGCGAGCTGCAGTTGTGTGTGGAGTAACGTTAGAGCGGGGTTGTTGTTTGAGGAGGATGTGTGTGTGCTGACAGTGACACGAGCGGTGGACGAGCTGCTCCTTATACTGTATCTGTCTAAGAGCACGGCATGAAGAGATCAGGTAAGATCATCATCAGCTATTGAGTTACATGAGTCTCGTGTATGTTTGTGGGTGAGTGTGCAATATGAACATGTTTTGCATGTTAACGAGCCTTCAGTCAGTCAGACTCAGAACAATGATACATTCGATGATGATTGTTGTTTAAACTAAAGTAAGTTAAACCATTCACTCATGTTTTTACACGGAAAGTCACTGCTCGGCTGTATCATTGTATTTTGGATGAAAATTGACCAGTTAGGTTATATACAGTTCATATGTTATGGGTTAGCATACTTAAGTATCAATAGTTTGATAATGTCATGTGCTTCTGTGTGTGTGTGTGTGTGTGTGTGTGTGTGTGTGTGTAAAAAAAAAATACTCTGTTGGTACCATGGTGCAGTGATAATAATACTATATGCTTTGATGAATACCCTGCTTTTGAATGATACCCATATTTCTATTGAAATGGTGTATTCAAGCTCTTAAAGAATTGTATTACACTACCATGCATGATACCACCATATTTTCAAGTACCATACTTCTTTGTGCTTTGGTATTTTTTGTTAGTTTCTGAGTGTTGAGAGGGAGTCAAAAGTCAGTCCTTATTCGGCACTGTTACTTCTTATTTTGGAATTTTACATTATTAATTCTGCTTCTTATTCTTATTCTTTTAACAAAATGTGTGTTTTACTTGCCTAAACCAGCTAAACCAGTTGAGTAGCAATTCAACCAGGCTGGGTGACCAGCTAAGACCAGGAAATCATCTTTTTTCATCTGGGTTGTCTGAAATCCTGCAAATATACAGTACCTGTCAAAACATAGGAAACATTCAAATGTTTTATGTTTTTCAAAGAAGTCTCACTAAGGCTGCATTTTTTTTAATAAAAAATGCAGTAAAACAGTTATATTGCGAAATATTATTACAAATTAAAATAACCGTTTTCTATTTGAATATAATTAAAAAAGTTATTTATTCATGTGATGGCAAAGCTGAATTTTCAGCATCATCAGGTACTTAAAATAGAAAAGAAACTGTAATAGAACTATAAATAATGATAGATATTTTATTTAAAATATTTTAATCTATATGAAGTTCAAGTTCTGATGTTCTGGTTTGAGGAAAGGTGGTTTCAGGGGGAGTGAGTTATAATGTAATGTCATAATTTAAAAAAAAATAGAAAATGGAAGGAAATGCTACATTTGTGTTAAGAACAAGCAAGTGATCATCACTGAGTCATTTCAAAGTGGATTAAAAAAATAATGGTAGGTATAGTTGTGTTTTGAAAAAAATCTGAGAGCACTTGTTCGACAAGTAAGTCTGGATATGTCAATCATTTTGGGCTGGTACTAACTCACCTAAATTTAAGTAGAGCGTCATCAAAGTCCTGTTATGTACAGTAAATACATCTAGGGCTAGGCCTATTGCTTTCAGCAGGAACTGTAAGACAGCTGTAGTCTATAACACAGATGTTCTGGCTTCTGATTCACATGTAGCAGCAACATCTAGCTTACTCTAAACAGAACAATGACAATGTTCTCACTAAACCCTCCCTAGATGGCTGTACTAACAGCCCAGGTTGTCTCATTTTTCCCTGCTTATTAATACAGCACAGACAGTCCTCTCTATCATCCTTCTCATCCTTATGTTGTTCAAAACCTGTATAACTTCCTTTCTTTTGTGGAACACAAAGGGAGAAGTTTAGCAGAAGCAGAATGTCTGAGCTTCTCTCTTCCATACAATGAAAGTAGGTGGTGACCAGTGGCAGTCAATCTCCAAAATGGACAAAAAAACACTAAAAGTAGCCCGTATTACCCAGCAGGCATTATAAAAAAAAGTCTTCTGAAGTCATATGATAGTTAGGAAATTTAAGATATTATTCACTGAAAATCTTGCTTCGACAGCTATGGTCACCATTCACTTTCATTATATGAAAAAGAACAGCTTGGACATTCTGCTGTGAATTTCTCCTTAGTGTATCATGGAAAAAAGTAAAATGGGTTTCAAAAGACATGACACGGTTAAGCTTTTAAACACTTTTGTGCACAAAACCAGTTTTTGAACCTTATAATTTAAAGGTAATTATGCCACAGAGGTGATACTCAAGTTTCTCAACCCTCAAGAGCTGCAGTTCCCCAGCTTTCCCACATCCATCCAACCTATCAGGTTTAGTACGGAAGTTTTTATGGGTGCCCAGTCAAGGGTTGCTTTCAGAGAGCTCTCCATTTTGTAATCCCAGAAAGCTTTTGTCACTTGGCTTGTGACCAGTCTTTTGGAAAGGGGGAGCTACATCTTCAATAGATCGGAGCAGGAGAAGAAAACACTCTTTTCATATTTTTTATAGCCAACTTAAAGGATAAAAAATAATATAAATAATACATTTAAACACAAAATGCTCAAATTTGTAAAAAATAAACACTTTTAGAAATGACTTAAAGGGATAGTTCACCCCAAAATATATTTTTTGGTCATCATTTACTTGTCAAATTGTTGTAAACCTATGAGTTTCTTTGTTCTATTGAACACAAAAAATATATTTTGAAGAATCTTGGTATCCAAACAGATGCTGGTACCTAATTGACTTCCATATTAAAAAAAAAAAAAAAAAAAAAAAAAATGCTATGGAAGTCAATGGGGATCAGAAACTGGTTGGATTATACCAATAATCTTCAGAACAGCTTCTTTTGTGTTCAACAGAAGAAAGAAACTCATACAAATGATGATGATGGACTTTTTAAGGTTGTGTGAACTATACCCTCTGATGGTCTTCGGGGTCTATTGGACCCCAAATGACTTTTGCTCAAATTAAAAAAAATGTTCTCTTTGTCCAAATGGTTTGAAACTTTCTACGACTCTCAACACTTTCTAGATCTACAAAAAAAAATAAAAAAAAATAATGATATCTGTTTTTATGTTGGCGTGACAAAAATAGTCACACTCGTGGTCTTCGGGGTCTATTGGACCCCGCAATCAAAATAGACAAAATAACATCATCAAAATCAGAAACAACGTAGAACACATAGACAGAAATGACAGAAATAAAGTGGCACACTTCCAACAATGCAAAAAACATCCACAATCCAAAATTATTATGCTCACCACAGGCGCACACACACACACACAAACACACACATAAAGAGGAATACATTTATACAGGAATACATACAGACTATAAAAACTGTTCTCGTATCATTTGTAAAATAAAATAATCTAAAATGCAGAACCACCAGAAAAATAAATTGGTAACACTTAGACGCATTGAAAATGTGCGCACACACACATACACACACACGCACACACACACACACACACACACACAGACACACAAACACACACACACAGGAATACATTTGTAAGGCTATAAAAAGTCTTATAATTTGTCAAATAAAATCATACAAAATGAAGAACCACCACAAAAATAAATTGGTGACACTGTACACATAAAAATAAAAATAAAATGTACACACACACACACAACAACAACAACAACAGTGAAGTGCCAAACCTGCTCCAACCCTGTCTGCAGAAGTCATGCGGTTTACCATGCATAGTGTTTTTTCAGTACAAAAAATGCTAAATTTTGACAAATTATATTATTTTTGTTATAATTGTGATTTTATAATATTTAGATATGAATCCAACTGAATCCAACTTTAGAAACTATATCTTTCAGTAATTCAAATAGCAAATAGCATATAATGGAGCTCTATAGCCATCTAGTGGTTAAAGTGATTTATTACAAATTTTAACCTGTATTTTTACAAAAAATGGGCAAAAATCTTACATTAAACCTTGTAAATTATCCATGGTATCCCCAGGAATGCAAGTTAGAAATCTGGGTCTTTTATAAAGTTTATTTAACATAAAATGCTGTTTTTTTGTAAAAATCCTATTTAATTAAATATTTATTTATTTATTTATAGAAATTTAAAAAAAAATCATAAATTCTCCAAAAACTGCACAAATGTTGAGTAAAAACATTAATAAACAGAGTAAAATTATATTTGTTAAAAAAATATATATTGTTCGGTTACAAAATTAAATGTTGTTGTCTGGGGTCCAATAGACCCCGAAGACCACGAGTGTGACTTTTTTTTGAAGACCATCAGAGGGTTAATTGTTGAGACACTTTTGGGCCCACTTTACTTTTTTTTTTTTTTAAAGGTAAAAAATGTGTATAAGAAATGCACTGGATTAGTTTTATATATAATTTATAATTCAATGGTAATATTTATGGCAAAGTTTTGGAATTATGAGTAAATGTTTCAAACAGGCATATGGTTTCAACATAAGATGTGCAGTTAAACCTATACTTGTGTTACCATTTTTAAAGAGCTCACAAAAGTGGAAGCAATTTAAAGCAAGCTAATAAGCCAGTATTTATAGCATCTAGTTGGATCTTCTAAGAATGTTCTTCTGAGTCTGTTTTCATACATATCTTCCCCTCTTTTCGCTGGCTTTTGCAATTTGCACACATTCATTCAGTAGTTAAGCCTGTATCTGCCATCAGCTGTTATACTGCTAAACATTTTAACCACAGACTCCCAAATATTTGAAGTGCATTGATGGTCCATTTATATTGTTTAGTGTGCAGTTTTGTTGCATATATATGTGTGCGTAAGCAACATTCATTATTAAATGAGGTTAAAATGTTGAAGTGTTGTGATTGAGGAATGGGATTACTGTCTCAGACTGTCTGTCTGTCACGACTACTGTTCAGCTAAATCCCTGCATGCTGAAATATTAATGCAGCTCAATTATGTGATTACTCCGTTACCCTCAGTTGATGATGGATTGTCTGTATTCAACCCCTCAAATTCAGCTTCAGTGATTGGAGCTGGCGGTTAGCGTGAGTCTTTAGTCAAACACCCTGGGATTAAAAGTTGAAACAATGTGTTTGAATAACATGTTCCGTTTTCAGTTAAAAAGATACATTTACTAATTTTCTACTTGAAACACTCTTTTTTTCGTAAACAGTAGATTGTTCATTGACAAGGCTTTCAGTAGATCAGTCTGGCCAATGTACAGTCTATCACTAATCTGCACCTTCTCTTTCCTCTCCTGCCCTTCAGAAAGGTGGGAGTCTGGGGCTCTTTGACTGATGCTGTTATTGGTGCTGGCTGCCAGGTCATGAAGATCCGCTGGTCGAGGAAGGTGGCTCTCCTGGCCAAGGTCGGCTTCCTCTTTTCTCTGCTGTGGCTCTTCTATCTCCTTATAGTCCGTTCTTCCCCGTCATCTCTGGCTGATCATGATGGTCAACGCGACATCCTGGTCCGTGACCTTCCATCCAATGAGGAGGAGGACTCCGACAACCTCCTGCGGCCTGTTTACGAGAAGCTAGCACCAGACTCCAACGCTCCTGGAGAATATGGCCGAGCCACTCGATTGACCCTCAGCACTGAGGAGAAGAAAGAGGAGGAAGCCGGCATTGAGCGCTATGCCATCAACATCTTCACCAGCGACAAGATATCTCTCCATCGCCATATTCAAGACAACAGAATGCATGAGTATGTCTTCCACACCTTACCTCACAGCAATGGGCTCATTACACACCCTCCTACCCCCTAACATTGCCTAAAGGCTGGCCCACACTAAATGATTTTTAAAAACATATCAGATTTTCAAAATGTGAGAGACCACAAACATAATGATAAAACAATCATAGATTTAACAAGTTTTGTTTCTATAGTGTGTGTGGAATGCTGCAATGTGACCAAGACTGCACGCACACCACATTCTAACAGATTCCATTCAGGAAATTTCGCAAAACCTCTCACGGTCAAACGTGACTTTAGAGTAAACAAACATGGCAGACGACAGCCAAGAAAAATGGCGATAATAGTAGGTGTGTCCCAAATCGCGTACTTATGCACTATTCTAAGCCATTGTGTAGTATAAATAGTGCGAGTAGTGCGTTCACACTGAAAATTCTAAAAAGAAAAAGTGCACTTTAAGTACCCAGATGATGCACTTATTTAACCAAAAAAATGAAGTGTGGAACGTTGGACACTTCATGCCCTCAACTGTCGCAGCTTTAATTACGTAGCGAAGGGGGAGGGGCTATCAGACTCCGATGTTGAAAGACAAAATTAACATATAAAGTTCATACACTACACGGTTGAGTACATAGTCCATAAGTACAGTACAGTGTATAAGTGCATAGTGTATAGTGCGTCATTTGGGTCACAGCTAGTGTTTAGACTGCTTTTTACAGAAAATGTTATGCTTCTGTCTTCCATCAGCTCACTTTCTGATTGTTTCGTTCCACGTGACAATCTACAGAGTATGTGTGTGCGTTTGTCCTTGGGGTTCCCCCCACACAACAGGATTTCTGATCGTAAATATTCAACATGTCTTCCGAGCAGATTCAATCATTTTAACAAGCATCACACATCAGGAAAATCTGATACGATAATCTGGAGATCCATCAAGATAATCGTGACTTTACCTAGGGTTGTTGAAAGGGGAGAATTGGGCCCAAAATCAGGCCGATTATCTTGTAGTGTGTGGTTGCCTTTAGAAACCACATAGCAACATTCTGAAAACACTATAGTAACTACTTAGAACACCTATCAACAGTTTAGCAACCACAGAGAATACCTTAGCTGCGACAAAGCAACATGCTAAAAGCACTCTAAACATCTTATTAACTGTATAGCAAAGCCTTGGCAACCACATAGAAACCCTTTAGCAACCATCCAGAACACCCTAACAACTGCTTAGCGACATGCTATAAACACTCTGAACACCTTGATAACTGTATAGAAAAGCCCTGGTAACTACATGCACCTTAATAACTGTAAGGAAAAGCCCGGGAAACCCCCTAGCAACACCTTAGCGACCATCCAGAACATCCCAACAACTGCATGGCAACGTTAAAAACACTCTGAAAACCTTAGTAACTCTAGCCAAGCACTGTTAACCCCCTAGCAACGGCACGCAACCACCCAAAACACCTAGCAACTACATAGCAACATGCACCTTAATAACTGTAAGGAAAAGCCCTGGAAACCCCCTAGCAACACCTTAGCGACCATCTAGCACATCCTAACAACTTCATAGCAACATGCTAAAAACACTTAGAACACCTTAGTAATTGTATAGCCAAGCCCTGGTTACCACCTAGCAATGCCATGGCAACCACTCAAATACCTAGGAACTGCATAGCAACATGCACTTTAATAACTGTATAGAAATGGCCTGGCAACCACCAAGAATAAGCTAGGATCATGTTGGTGACTATGCTTGTCATTGCAATTGTATTTATAGAGGCATGTGGCAAATAAATGCATAACATTATATTCCATTACAAATAAGCATGAACAATAAATAAATAGGAAATGTGCTTGTTTTCACTTCCAGAGGAATTGAAATCATGTCCTGAATGGTGATTCCTCAGGTGATTTATACACTTCCGTCCACCTCACAGCTTTACAGATGTTGTCTGTTGTCTGAAACGAATCCATTGCCTGCAGCCAGACAACATGATTAAAAATGAACAACAATAGAAAATAGAGCTGGGACGTTTTCTCAGAACAGCAATCCTTTTGTATGAGAATAATTGTTACATGGTTATTGTCACACAATAATGAGTAGGGTTCAAGCTGCTGCTGTGAAAAGAGAAAGTGTCCCCTTGGAAGACGAGAAGTGAGACAAATTGGATGTGTTTTTTTCTCCCTGCAGTCTTTCAACTGCGCTCCGATTTCCACATCACAGGCTCTCCTGGAGATCACACACGGCAGGAGCACATTTCTTGGCATCAGCAGGGTTTTTTTTATCAGTTAATGTGCAGTAATTTTGCTCGCTTTCTGAAATAACTTTAGGCAAGTTAGTTCTTGTCAAAGACTTAAGCTTTACTGACAGAAATTATGCTGTGGTTTCTTTGTAGCGATAATTATTGTAAATGTGCAATAATGAGTCAATCTCAGTGAATGTTGAGTCTCTAGAGTTTAAAGAGTTCAAGGAACACAATGAAGTACACATTTGTTTGATCAAAAATAGAGTAAAAAAAAGTCATATTTTGAAATATTACAATTGAAAATAACTGTTTTCAATTTTGTTTTTGAATTTTCAGCATCATTACTCCCGTCTTCAGTGTCACATGATCCTTCAGAAATTATTCTAATGTACAGTTTTGGTGCTCAAGAAACATTGCTCATTATTATCAATGTTGAAAACAGTTATACTGCTTAACATTTTTGTGGAAACTGATAATTTTTTTCAGGATTCTTTGATGAATAGAGAGTTCAAAAGAACAGCATTTATTTGAAATAGAAATAGTTTGTAACATTACAAATGCTGTCACTTTTGATCAATTGAATGTGTCCCTGTTGAATAAAAGTGATACTGTCTTTCCAAAAAAAAAAAACTTTTGAATGGTTGTGTATATTAAACATTAAATTATGAGTATCTTTTAGCTTTGGATAGTTCTGCATTTCTAAAGTCTCTGCCTTAAAGGAGAACTCCGGGCAATTTTTAAGTTAATCTCGATCGTTACACCTTTTTGAGTACTGTCTATAGAAAAAAAAAACGAACCGGATCGGTGCTTGCAACACGGAGCTGTTCCTGCAAATGCCCAGAGCTCCCACTCAGCTAAAACGGCAGTTATGGGGGCATAAACAAAAAGAGTGTCTTTGTACCTCTTAACAGACACAAAATGCAATTAAAATGTCTGTCCAACATGAACAGGGGCCTTACATGTGAACAATATGCGTTTAGCAACTTAGCCATTGTTTAAATTCACCCAAATAGTGTTTTAGACGGCAAGCTGTAGTCTCGCGCTGAAGTCCCGTGGGAACTCAGTTGTAGCCGGAAAAAAGGTAAACAGTGTCAAGTTCAAGTTGTTACTCAGAATGCTGTGAAAATGTCTCTGGCATGTCTGTTTGTCTCCCATCTCTCCTTCAACTCTTCCTTCAAATTAGAGGAACTCAAATACAAAGAAAAGAGGGAAAAATGTCTTGTTTTACAAATTGAAAGTGAAATTTATTAATAGTCAGATTCTGTCCTTATTAATAGTCCTTCTTCACACCATAATTGTCACGTGACAAATTATAAGTGGACATCCATACTGCAGGATGAACGTGATGTTAGTTTTACAGAGCTGTGTCAGGTTCCTCTATGTTTTAGATGTTCACATTTGCACATTATAAGATGTTGTGTGTAACTCCCAGGGAAAACTGTTTGCTTAAACCACATGATCTGAATAAATGCCAGTTTGCGTAACCGTCTAATTAACTCTTTCTCTTTTTTGCAATGCCAGATGCAAAGCAAAGAAGTACAACATCCGTCGTCTGCCTACAACATCAGTGGTCATAGCATTTTACAATGAGGCCTGGTCCACTTTACTCAGAACCATCCACAGTGTGCTGGAGACGACACCAGCCGTCCTGCTGAAGGAGGTCATACTCGTGGATGACTTCAGTGACAGAGGTGACGTGACACTTTCCAGACAGACTTCATGTTTTTAAATCTAAAATTCCACTAGTTTAAAACTACTTTTGAATTATTTAGGTCCTTTTTCACTACAGTATAGTGTAAAATTTGTCTCATCCTGATTGGTCCGCTCTTCCACAACCAATTAATATCTAAAGAATATGTAAGCAAGAAAAGTTTTGAACCTATTAGGTACTACACTGATAGGTGAAAATGTATGAATTATGGCCTGGTTATGCCAAAAATGATAACTATATAGATAACTATAATTTTTTATTTTAATAATTTATTATTTAATAATATTTTACCATCCACACCAACAGACAATAGCATTCTGTTTTTTCTATGTGCATTCTGCAGTTATGTTGTCTATCACTTCAAATGCTCAAGCTGGTGGATATTGATTGGCTGCCCGTCAGTGATTTTGTCATTCATCAGGAAGAAATTGTTCTGAAATTATTCCATCAATATCGTTATCATTATAGTCATGATGTGGACTGCCCTATTCTCATATAATGAGAACGAGAACGAATACAACTTTTTGTTATAGCTATATCTATCATCCTTGGTGTGAACAGGCTTTAATTAAACCTTATTACGTTTCATATTACTTTTAAGTAATGTTTATTACGTTTAAAAATCAACAATTATTGAAATATACTCACACATTTGGCCATGTTTGCATATTTCATGCTTCCTCTACAAAGTTCTGGATAGTAAGGTAGCCATAGTTATGATTTCATATGAGTTTTTATATTAGCTGAGATCCATGTGTCTACTAGTTAATCAGTTGTTTTCCTGTGATTTGGCCATTATGTGTTGGATCCTGATAAAAAAGATTCAAATTTTCTTTGCATGGATTACAGTGTACCTGAAGTCACAGCTGGCTCAGTATGTCAGTAACCTGGAGCGTGTTCGTCTCATTCGCACCAAAAAAAGAGAAGGTCTGGTTCGGGCACGGCTCATCGGCGCCACCTACGCTACAGGACACGTGCTCACCTTCCTTGACTGCCACTGTGAGTGTGTGCCTGGCTGGATCGAGCCACTGCTGGAGAGGTGTGACCTTAAATTGAATTCAAATGTAGCATAGAAACACTCCCATAATCCACAGTAACAGGTTTGTGAAGTGTATTAGCCAGGGAAATGCAAATTTTATATCGTCTTTTATCGTCTTTTCTATCGTCAGAATTGCTGAGAATGAGACCACCATCATATGTCCGGTTATTGACACCATTGACTGGAACACATTTGAGTTCTACATGCAGACAGATGAGCCGATGGTGGGCGGCTTTGACTGGAGGCTGACATTCCAGTGGCATGGAGTGCCTGAAATCGATCGCAAGATACGCAAATCCAGAATTGACCCCATTAGGTTGGTTTCTGGTCAACTTTTTCAAATCCAACTTTGCTATGTGTATTTCTTGGCAATTTAAAGGGATACTCCACCGAAAAATGAAAATTCTGTCATCCTTTACTCACCCTCAAGTTGTTGCAAACCTGTATGAGTTTCTTTCTTCTGCTGAACACAAAGGAAGATTTTTTGAAGAACGATTGGAACTTTGGCACCATTGACTTCCATAGTATTTTTTTTTTCTACTATCCACCTTATTCCTGACGACCTTACTGCGTTTTGAATTATGGGTGGCACTTCCGGTTTGGGGAACTTCCATTCAAAAAGGCTAAAACGAATCATTTCAAATCATAAGGTTGCCCTACAAATAAAGCTGATCCGTCAGTTTGACTGGATGAGCTGTCAATTTTCCTTCATGATTTATTTTCAGACATAATGAGAATAAAGTTATACTTGGTATTTTAACGTGACATGTTATAACAAGAATATCTATGGCAAGAGCTCTTTTCAGTCGTTGCTTTCTTTTCCTCATGATGATTTTTATTTTTTCCTTTGCAATCCGCTGTAAAAGTATGAAAAAAGGACAACATATACGGCACATTTGTGGTCTGTTCTCCCGAATTTAATTCACGATATTCCATTAATAAATTCACTGGAATGCACGAAGAATCTCTCGTTATTCTCCTCAAATCCTCACGTCTCTTTCCAGGTTTGTTTTCACAGGTAAATGCAATTTATAATCTGTCAAAATGACGGAAATCACTTTGATATAGTGTCACGTAATGCTGAAGTTAATGAACATTTTTGATTAAGGCTTGTTATACAATACAGATATACGTATATTTGCCTACTACAGTGATATTTAACCAAAGACTCGCGCTTTTGGGGCAATTTTTGGTCTGTTGTAAGTACCTTGTTGATTCTTTTAAACTTTTAAATTTCATTTTAATGTTCAATGGTTGAAGGGTGAGTCGATTAATGTCATCTCATTGTGACACTTTTTTAACGTATTGCGTTCATAGAGCGAGCCTTCACTGATTGTTTACAGCGTAACGGAAGTTACACCCATAATTCGCGCAAAGCGTCATGGGGTGTAGGAATAAGGTGGATAGAAGTCAATGGTGCCAAACAACTGTTTGGTTCCAATCGTTCTTCAAAATATTTTCCTTTGTGTTCAGCAGAAGAAAGAAACTCATACAGGTTTGCAACAACTTGAGGGTGAGTAAATGATGACATAATTTTCATTTTTGGGTGGAGTATCCCTTTAAGAAAAAGATTATAAATGTTTAAAGGAATAGTCACCCTCACCTGTATGTCGTTTCAATTGTTAATTTATTAAGTCATATCAATTTATTTGATAGCACATTTATTTATTATTTATTCTGTGGAACACAAAAAAAAAGAAATTGACAATTTTACTATATTTTACAATACTACTATTTATAGTAGTATATTTTTTGTTAGTTTATTGATCCATATTGGATATTTATATGAGCTCATATTGCATATTTGATTGTTTATTCCCATTTCCTCTATTTTTACATTTAGATTTGCTGTCATTTAACGCAAATAATTTAACACTGTTAAATGTAACTTTTAACATATTTGGAAATGGAAATGAAGGGGTAGGTCACTCAAAAATTAATTATATAATTTTTTTTTTTACATTTTTCTCACCCTCATAAGAAAAAGTTCATAAACCTAATCCATATGAATTGAGGGGTTTAGTCCAAATTTTCTGAAGAGACACGATCACTTTATGTGATGAACAGATTTCATTTAGGCTTTTATACACAATTGATCAAAGGACATAAACAGAAGCTCAACTGAACCTGCTTGACACGTGAGAATAAACCCCATTGGTTCTTGCAGAAGCTCAAATGTGCTGCAAAGCACGAGAATGAACCTCATTGGTTTTCACACGTCAAGCGAACATGCTTGAGCGTCCGTTTACCACAAATGATGTGTGCGTTGATGAATGTTTATATGTGAATAAAAGCTAAATTGAATCTGTTCATCATATAAAGTGATTGTGTCTCATAAGAAAATGTGGGCTAAACCGCTCTATTCATCTGGTTTCATTTTACGAACACTTTATGAACTTTGGAAATGTCAAAATGGTACCTACATCGACTGTCAAAATATCTTCATTTGTGTTTCGAAGTTGAACGAATGTCTTAAGAGTTTGTAACAAAATGAGGGTGAGTGAAGGATTTGATTTTAGTTTATAGTGTTTTATTTTTAACTTATTTAGACAAAATAGTATAGACATTTAATATTGGCCTTCAACCATATTATCATAATTACAAACCGTTTTGTATTAATTATTAAAGTTTAATTTTGGTGCATTCCTAAATGAAAGTCATAACGGTTTGGAATGACATGAGGCTTTTAAATTTAACTCTCCCTTTAAGCCATCCAGACTTCCAGTAAAAGCTTTTTGAAAGTTATTTTCACAAGGAAATGTGTATTGTGTTTACATTTACATTTACATTTATTCATTTAGCTGACGCTTTTATCCAAAGCGACTTACAATTGCTATGTATGTCAGAGGTCGCACGCCTCTGTAGCAGCTAGGGGTTAAGTGTCTTGCTCAGGGACACATTGGTGTCTCACAGTGGATTCGAACCCGGGTCTCTCACACCAAAGGCATGTGTCTTATCCACTGCGCCATCACCACCCCTTGATCAACTGCAGTGCGGTGAAAAAGATTACATTTTCAGACCTAGGTTTACATTAAAATACTGTCCAGTTCTGCTCTAGAATTCTCTCCAGCCTCATCCGAGGGCAGACCCAGAGGTGCTCAACTGAAACTAAGAAGCACTTACCTGCTAGGGAGTATCTCTGATGAATTGCCAATGATCTGCTGCTTTTCGCTTCACAGGTCTCCCACTATGGCAGGGGGGCTCTTTGCCGTCAGCAAGGCTTACTTTGAGTTTCTGGGCACTTACGACATGGGCATGGAGGTCTGGGGAGGAGAGAATCTGGAACTTTCTTTCCGGGTAAGACACCTGTGTGTTCTGTACTCCTGCTACCTATTGTACTGGTAATTTGCATATGCTTCTCATCAGAGCGTGTCGACTGTCGACAGGCTCTTGGTAGCATGAGAGACTGAGCATTTATAATTAGACATCTCTCTCATATTGGATTTCTTTTTTCAGCCTATGCTTAGAAATGAAGATTGATGGTTAATACCATGGAGTAATCTTTTATGCATATGGAAACCGAATACAACGCTCTATCTTCTAGGGCTGTACGTTGTTCATGTATAATAGATGTGCTGTGAATTGGAATAAAAAAGCATGTGGGAAATAAAGCTGGAAAATGCCTAAAAAAGGAATTTTGTCGGTGTCTCAACGGATCTAATGCGCTGTTGTCATGTTTTATTTCTGACAGGCAGTGCATTACATTAAAACCAGATGCTTTGTTCACAGAAAATGTTGAGTTTGTGTGCGAAAATAGTATGCGAGATGAGTCGAATCTCCATAAACAAATAATGATGCTCTAGATATAAATGCTTGTGGGTTATTAGCTTTCATTTTAAAACTGAACTGTGAAATTTTTTCAATGTTAAAATACTTTATCATATCGTATTTTAATATGCAGAACTATATACAAGTCAATCGTAGGTGGGTTTTTCCCAAATAGCATACACATTGATCTATTTAGCATCCTAACCATATTGAAAACAATAATGATTTTTGCCATTAATTATTTGCAATTATTATTAATTATTTATTTAATCATTTAATTTAAAAAATCCATTATTTATATATTTAGTAATACATTTTTCTTAATATTTATTCATGTTGTGACGACACAAGTGGTACACATTATATACTTAACTGTATTTTAATTATTAATAATTAATAAGGTGATTAATAATGTTGCATTATTTGCTTTTTATTTATTACTTTATTGATTATTATTTTTGTTCAGTACTTCACCTTACAATTTTTAATAATGGAAAACCACCTACAATGTCTTTTTTTTAAAAAAAAATAGAAATTATTTTGATTCTTGCTTCATTTTGAACATGTTTTGTTACAGGTGTGGCAGTGTGGAGGGTCTTTAGAAATTCACCCATGCTCCCATGTGGGTCACGTTTTCCCCAAGAAAGCACCGTACTCCCGATCCAACTTCCTTCAGAACACTGTCCGTGCTGCGGAGGTTTGGATGGACTCTTACAAACAGCACTTCTATAACCGAAACCCTCCAGCACGCAAGGTACACATCCATCCATCCATCCATCCATCCATCCACCCAGCATAACCTGTCAGTCGGCGGCACCTCTTTATTAACATCCTGTGTTGTTGCATAATCAGAGGTGTACAATCATTGTGTTGTTTCCTCTTTTAACTGCTTCAGTGGTCATCTAGAAAAGTGCTGTTCTCAAAATTGCTTACGTACTCCTGAAGGGGAAAAAACTGTGAAAGAGATAAATGATGCTCAGGTTTTGCTTGAATGCGTTCGTTCTCTCGGCTTACAGTGTTTGTTCTTCCTTTGGCTGTCTTTGAAAAGCTTATTAGCTGACAAAGATACTAAAACTAGGCCAAACATATATTATATCACCCTGGCTGACATGAATGTGGCATGTAACTCCATATTACTTCACAGACAAATTACATTATTAATGTGATCAAATAATAAGTCATTCTCTGGTAGCCACACCACCAGATGCAATGAGTAAAGGTAATGATACACAGGGCAACTTTTTGAGCAATGTTGCTGGGCAATGTTGCCGTCAACGGGCAACCAGATGAGACACAGGGCCCACGACCAATCTAAATTATCCAGATAGAAATGTATTGCCCATTTTCAATGGGAAAGTGCCCAAGCAACAATCGCTCGGCAAGATTGCCCAGCAACATTGCTCAAAAAGTTGCCCTGTGTATCATCACCTTAAGAATATTTGTCCTGTCTATATATGGCTGTCTTGAGTTGCTCATGAACCTCAGGTCTGAATGCAAACACACCCTTTTCATACCTGTGTGAAGTGTTAGCTAAGTTAATATTATCTTGTTTACCTGGTTGGGTTTCTTTGACTTTTAGCTTGTTGGAAGTGTGTCGTGACTCGTGGCAGTTGTGTCAACATTATAGGACAGCGCCCTAGAGGAAGTACTTACATGGCATTCTTGTTTGATATCTTTGAAGTTGCAACTAAAGTAAAGATATTAAAAAGTTATTAATATCAGTAAAAATGGTTAAAAAATCGAATGGATAAAGCAGAAAGGTTTTAGTGTCAGAAAAGGTATTTGTTCTTGTTTATTTATTTGATAGGGACAAATCATGTTAAAGGGGGGGTGAAACACTCAGTTTCAGTCAATCTCATGTTAATCTTGAGTACCTATAGAGTAATATTGCATCCCACATATCTCCAAAAAGTCTTTAGTTTAATTATATTTATAAAAGAAAGATAGGCTGTACCGAGTCTTTCCGGAAAAAGCCGAGCGGGTGGAGGCGTGCCGTGTGGGCGGAGCTAACACGCCGATAGACACACACAGATATTTGAAGCAGTTCTACCAGAGACTATTTGGTTCTATTCACCGCCTGCGGTTCCAACGCAAGACCGTTAACCTTTAGTGTTGGGACTGCTCCATCCTTGAGAACTAAACGATTAGCAAATCTGGCTTCGAACTGGGCCTTGTTTATAAAAAAAATCATCCTCGAAATGCATGGAACAAACAAGAACACTTGCACAACTGTGTTGATGTTCTGGAAAAACAAACTCCATCCACTGGTCCCTTAACGCTTGATTCTTTGGGAATCTGTGCAGTGTTGTCTTGCCTTGGCAACCGAAAACACACTTCTTTGGTGACATATTGCAGCGCAGCCGATGCACAGCGCTTTGATGGGCATAGGTTACGGCTATTGCTCTACAGCTGCGCGCGCGCCCTTCCGAGAGAAGTGCCCTTAGGACCGTATAAGGAAATTCCGGCGCATCTGACGTCATACGCGCCCATACTCGAAAAAAACTTTCCGAAACTTGTGACAACTAGGAAGGAGTATTTTGAGAACAGAAATACTCAATCAAACGTACAACTTCATTTTTGAAACTTTGTCCATGTTTAGCATGGGAATCCAACTCTTTAACAGTGTAAAAAACTCACTATGCATGAAATAGCATTTCACCCCCCCCCCCCCCCCCTTTAATGAACATCTGTATAAAATACAGAATGTAAACAATCCGGATTATAGCAACATTGCTAATTTACATCCGCAGTCCCTAGGCTATACACACAACACTACAAAGAGACAATACCCCAAACACATTATAAAAATGTGTTTACACAACTGATTCGTACACACGCCACTTCTTTAGATGATCTTTAAAAGTGTGATAAGTAGAACATTGTCTTATTGACTGCAGTAAAGTATTCCAATATTTGCTCCCTATTACAGATAATACGTGTGGTCTTGACGTGTGGTCAAGGCGGTCCTACATAGATTTCAGTCAGTAATCTGTAAGCTTTGTCTTGAGGCCTGATTTTGATTTGCTCTTGTAGGAATCTTACGGCGATATATCTGAAAGGATTGTACTGAGAAAGCGGCTTCAGTGTAAGAGCTTTGAATGGTATCTGCAGAATATCTATCCCGGCCTGCATGTGCCAGAGGACAGGCCTGGATGGCACGGAGCGGTAAGTGACTGATCTAATCTAGTCTAGTCTAATCTAATTCCTTCTGGAGTTCCTTTTTGATGTCATTTTCACAATTTTTTAATGGTTTTACATCTTTCCTGGTTCCTGGTGCAGGTGCGTAGTGCTGGAATCCACTCTGAATGTCTGGACTACAATGCCCCGGACCACAATCCCACAGGAGCTCACCTCTCCCTGTTCGGCTGCCATGGTCAGGGCGGTAATCAGGTAACTAACATCAATATTAACGCTTCTGTGGAAAAAAAAATATTATTGGGAAAAAATAGCTATAAAAAATGTGTTCTTTCAGTTTTCATTGTTTTGTTGAATAATAAAAAGCATAAAAAAGTCTTCAAAAATCTTTTTGTCACTAGGGCCACATTGTTATTGCAAAATACATTAATAAAACGTTAAAAAAAAAACATTTTAACTATGGAAATGGTCTTTTTAAAATATCCCAAAAAACAAATGAATACATAAAAACTACTGCTTTGCATATTATATTTATATTTTATAAAGTTTTCCTACGTCTTGAAACTTTCAGGTTTATAAATGGGTGTCATCTTTGAAGGATTAACAAATAATGTTTTGGTCATCACATTAAAAATAACATTTAAATAAATGAAGAGAGATGCAAAAGCCATTTGAAATTTTATTCTAGAATGATCCTTTTTATCAAGCTTGTATATTTAAGTTCAGCAATTTCAATTAAATGGCAATGAAGATTACCTATTAATTGTCATTTGAGTGAAATTTCTGAACTTAAATATACAAGCTTGATCAAAATTATCATTCTAGAAGAAAATTTCAAATGGCACTTAGAGGCTTTTGCATCTGAACTCTTCATAAATTTATTTATATAATATTTGAGTTTTGAAGTGCTGGAAAAAGATTTGTGAAGTACTTGAAAGCATTTCACTATTCCAGCCAAACTGGTTATGGTGAATGTTGCTGGTCTGTGGACGTAAAGTATTACTAGTTCATTCACGGCACAATGTTTCTCCTGGTTTCCACGTCAGCGCTGTTTGATCTAATAGAGATCTACGGTTAATAACAGAGAAATGTGAATGCTTCTCACTAGATCTCGCAGTGATGTTATTACTTCAGTGGCGAATTCAAATGTTTTCTTTACTGGATCTTAGCGCTGTGTTGTAACAGTGTCGCTTGATCGAGATCGGCTCGTGCTGCACAGATGTTGCTGGTCCGAACTGATAAACGATCCGTGAAGCACAATAATGAGTAGTGCAGTTTCGTTCCGCTTTCATTACGATTGCCATTTGATGTTGCGCAACGTTGTGGTGGTCGTGCCCTGGTCGTGCCAGCGCAAATTTTGTCGGTAGGAAAAATGTTTCAAGGAATCGTTCGGTTTGTATGCGTACCGAACCGGAAGCCTCGAACTGAAACGGTTCAATACGAATACATGTACCGTTACACCCCTAGTGTTAATTAATGAAAGTAATTAAAAAGTAGTATTAAAGGCACAGTATGTCATTTTTGCCAATATTCGCATATTCAAAACAATAACAAAGGCATAGCTGGATGACGCTGTGAAGGAGCGGGGAATGAGGGGAGTTGTCGACTTCATCTTAATGCAAAAATCTTACATATTGTGCCTTTTATACAATTATATATATAAAAAAAGTAATTTCACTTGTAATTTTCAGCCAAGACCAAGAGGATATTGAATTTTCGGTTTCGGCCCAAACCTTTAATTTCGGTGCATCACTACTTAACACCATGTAAGCAGAAAGTGGTGAGGAAGAAAGAGTTCTCACATCTATCGTTAATATGGCAAATTTGAATTTGAGGAAGAGAACAAGATTTGAGAATAGTCTCCCGCAGGGAGTTTACCCCACATTTTAAAAGCCGCTGTCTTACCCCACAGCCTGATATCCTCAAAATGGATTAAAGGGGGCTTTCTAATATTTGCCAGAGCTATCGAGTAACTTTAAAAATGAGCATGAGGTGCTTTCATGTCCAGTTATATAACACCTGCGACAGCAGATGCAGGAGATCCATCAGACCCTGTTTGTTGCGTTTGCAGCGAAACAAAGCTAGCTTTATTTGTGCAGAAACATAATCCATCCTGAGATGTGCTGCCCTTCTGAGGTTTGTTATTTATCTAGTATCACAGTTGAAGAAGTGAATGAGGTGCTGGGGATGTATATGTAATGGAAAGGGCAACCTGCAAATGTGTCCGGTGGCTTATGTCGCCGCTCTGCATCAAGGGACATGGTGAAGTAGCACCATGTGTGAGTGAAAATCAATGTTTCCACAGCCTGGACTGAAAAGGAAACCTTAGCCACTTCTCCTCAAAGATAGACATCTGTATGAAATATACATGTGGCTAATGAGACTAATGGTGACTGCAGTTTGAACCAGACAGAGATCACATCTGTCCATCTGATAAACACTGGACTGGATTATTTCACTGAATAGCTGCACCTTTTAGTGTCTTCCACCCTGTTTTTTTTTGTTTGTTTTTTATTCCAGCGTTGTAACCTTTACCCTCAAAGGATCTACTTCTGATCCTCTGCTTCGAGAAATTGTTTGCTTATGAATTATTAACCGGGCTTTGATTGTTAACGGCATCCGTGCAAACATCCGTATTTGTTTGGGGGCCAGGCAGTGTGTGTGTGTATATATGTAAACACAATATATATAATGAAAATTCATTAAAATTGGCTATTTGGACTCATTAATGTAAATTAATTAAACTTCCCAACTCTAACACCATCACCATATATGAAAACTTACAAAAGCCAAAGAAATGTGCCAAATTACATTTCGAACAAAATGTCATTTTTCTCTCTCTCCATCTCTCTCAGTACTTCGAGTACACATCTCAAAAGGAGATTCGATTTAACTCTGTGACCGAGCTGTGTGCTGAAGTCCAGGATGGATTGACACAAATAGGGATGAAGCATTGCCCACAAGACGGTGCTCCCGTTCCTCCCGGCATCGTGTGGGAGTTCAGAGACGTGAGTCTGTTCGCCTGTAGCTCAGTTCATCACTGGCGTGCTCAGAAAACAGGAGGAGATAAGACAAAACCTTGTTTGACATGTTATTGCGTATCAGATATGCTTCCCTGTAACATTTCCATGCCTAAAACGATCATTGTCTGGCAATTGTGTCTTTTCAGGATGGCAGCATATATAACCCTCATTCAAACATGTGTATCACGTCCTACCGCAAAGAAGGTGGCCGTACTGATATCCAGATGAGAAGTTGCTCTCCCGGAGACAAACACCAGCGCTGGAACTTCGAGTGACTTTAATCCTTATGTGAACTTAAATGTAAGTGCAATTATCAAAAGGAACGTCTCTTCCGGGTTGGCATTGGAAAAGGCATAAAAATGGGACCCATCCTCCATATAGTGCCTTTGCAAACCAAAGCGGACATATATCTGTAGTGCCAATTCTTGCGTTTCCTTGTTAGAGACGTTCAGTGTGCTATTACAAGTGCATATTAGAACTGTTAATATCACATTGTAGCAAATTCAACCATCCAACGAACATAGTGTTGTGTTGGAGCAGCTTTTTTGTTTACATTGATGCACTATATGCTTATAGTGAATCATTTTTAGACTCAGCAGTAGCTAATCTTTAAATCTACTGCACAGTGATTTTATTTAATTGTACCAGAAGTGACTGATTTGAAGATGTTGTGAATGGGTTTGTCTCGATTGTTGCCTATTGGTTTCCTACGGTATTTTTTGTGTCATTTTGTGACACTTTTCTTTTCTATTTTGTTCTTCTTTTTTATATTGTTAGGGTATTTAGGGTCTTTTCACCTTATTTTGTGCAAGCTTCATGGAAGATTTTGGCACACTGGTGTTGATGGAACTGTACCAGCATTTAAAGTTTCACTCAAACTAACGTCAGTGTTCAAATAGTTTTTTAATACGTACACTTCATTTTGAAGTAGATTACAGGAACTGCACTTCAGAGTTGGAACAAAATATTAAGCAATTATGGACCAAACTTTTCAGATCTCGCATGTTTTTCATTGGCCTAAACCCATTTTACCTTGCATTTGAGAACCACGTTTTTCTCTACTACCTATTTGGGAATTGTCCACTTTACCTGTAAATTGTTTTCCTTGAAAAAATGTATAGTAGGTAAGTTATTGACTCAACAGAAAGTGCCTCTTCAGCCTGGTTCCTTTCACAAAAGTGCTCATTTATCTTCACAAATCAGAGTATTACAGTACTTTACCATGATATTGGCCAAAGTGAACAATCAGAAAATGTACAAAGTGCTTTTATCACGGGTCTTCCAGCATTCAAAACTCACAGGACTGTCGGTAAATATCTTGAAAGTGCTATATCATAAATGACTGTAAATGGATAACACCTTTATTTTTGCACTACAATGGATTTAAAATGGCAACATAAGTTTTTATTTCTCATCCTTTGTAATTGTCAGTGAATTAAATGGTTTAATAGGGATTGTGGGAAAGTGATCATGAAATTACTACTGATAAAGCACAGTTTGTGGTGATCATGTGTTTTGCTTATCGACTGTAATGAAGTATTTTTGGAACATGGAGAAAAAAAAGTGCAAAGTATTTTTGTCTGAATAAATTAAATTAAAGTTATAGATGTTACATTTGTTGTGGTGGTTTGTTTTTTTGAACAGTGTGACTTTTCCTTGACTTTCTGTTGCTGTGCCATCTAGTGGTGGGGAAATGTGCTGTTGGATTAGACTCAAAATATTTCCGTAATATTATAGCATTGTAATTGCATGCAGTCAGATAAAGTTCCCTGATTTACATCACTTTAAAATAAGGTGTTCCCTTCACAGTTTTACATTTGTGACCTGAGCCTCTTATACAAACCAGATAATGAGGAAACCACAAAGGAGGTTCTGCCAAGTCAGGCTGAAATGTTTAATGGCGCAATCTCCAGGTGTGCCACGCAATTACATAAATGAACTGGAGGTCACTGAACATTGTCATCATCATGTTATATCTACAGCACGCATAAATTCGGCTGTGTTTTCCCCTATGACTTATGGTTGGATTGTGGGCAGTTGGTGCATGATGAATACTCTTTAACGGAAGCTGTCATCTTGTTGGACCTCAGAGAATATCGCAGCAATGAGTCCTTCGTTAATTGCCATTTTACACATCACATTTCCCTTAAGGTCATGCAGTGGTAGTGCAAACAATTCGATTTTTTAATTTATTTAGATTTGGTCTTTAGTCTATTAAAGTCACCATGAAATCAAAATCGACAATTGTTTTCTGTAATGGAATATTGCTGTATTTATTATAAGTGATTTATCCATCATGTGCCCTTGTAATCCCTCTCTCTTGCAGCGACATCTCTTCTCTGATGATGTGTTTACTGGCTCGAGGGTGGGACAACCTGTCACTCACATGAGATCGACCAATAGCAAATCAAGTCCCGTCCTACTTTCTTCTCTCTTTTTTTTTGTTTTTTTGTTGAGAAGCCGCTTCACTCGGATTCACGTTATAGGGAAGAAAATACTATTGCAGCTTCTGTTTCATGCTGACTTTTAAAGGGACAGTTGATTAGACAACCCTGATAATATGTGCAAAACTCAATAATCTCTTAAAAACATGTATAGCTGGTTTGAATTGGGTGTTATGAATATACCAGCCTATATTTTACATTGATGGCTGATTGGACATGTTAGAAAAGCTATTCTACACGGCTCTGTGTTCATACGTGGTAAATGACTGTGCAACATTGTGTGCAGTGTACCATAGGTTATTACAACTCAATAAGAGTGTTCAATCAAAAAAGCGTGGCACTCAGATTACCATCTCACCTCTCTGATGGCCCAATCAATAATTAAACATTAATTTGGGTAAACATATTTTGCTTGCTACATGGATCATCTTACATATTTTATCATAAAATATTTCTTGCACGAAGTGAATGGAGGTAGGGGAGGGAAATATTACAATATTTCTATGGGTGTATATTAGACTAAGCCCTACCAATATTTCTAGCAATTCTGCTATTGTAGACAAGTATAGTGTTATGTTTTCTTTCCTAAATTTTAATTTCAATCTTCATAATGCTTATTAAAATGTGTTTAGTTTTATTTTGTATAAAAAAAAAGCTGTACAAGAACCCGGATTTTTAAAGTTTCTTTTAACCTTTTAATAAGTCATTTATTAATGATCATTTAATGCCATCAAGAAGAGGAGCCCAATAAAACAGCTTTCTTAAAATGGGAATTTAAGTATAATTCACTTTCTTTCACATTTTGTGGCTGCTAGATACAGAGACAACTCACAAATATGCAGACTAGCAGGAAAACTTTAATACATAAAATTGTTCTAAATTTGATCAACAACTACAATCTTACTTAAAACCACTAGTTTTGGTGATAGTGAATTATTTTTAAGACTATGACTATGATAATTTGCTATTAGTTGGATAAGAATTTCCATCAGGTCACTGTAGAAACTTTATAATTGTATCATGATTTTAACCATTTCAGGCGCAAATTATGTTCAGAGACTATCAATATGCTTCATTTCATAAAAACTGTTGTATGAATATTTGACTCATTTAATGTCCAGTACAATGAACGCTGTTCCGACACTAGCGATATGCAGATATGGATTTTATTAATGCAAAAACAACAATGCATAATATGGCAAAAACTGTGGGGAAAAATTATGTCAACAGGAATGCACAAATAAATATTTACGTATGACTGAATCGCATGACATTGCATCTACAGTATGCAACTAAAATATCGTCAAACTCCCGAAGAAACACTGGCTTAATGAAAAGAAAGTGTGTTGCTCGAAACTGTCAAAGTAAACAACTCAAAGGGTTAGGCTGTTTGTTAAATGCAAATGAGTTATTATTATTTAAATCATACATTTTTCTATGTATTTAGTAATGATGTGTGTGTGTGCACTCTTGTGTGCATATCTTGGCATAACAGTGTTTACAGAGCGGACGTGCACTAACTGGATTTGGATTAGCGCTCTGTCACAGTGTGTGACCCCTAAGAGTCTGTGATTTGACCTGGATTTTTTTCTTTATGCCTCTTAAAGTTCTGCTGGCCTTATCTGACAAACAAGCCTGCTAATGTGATCACGCAAATCCCTCTTGCAGTGCTCAGACCTGTGGGATGTGTGTGCCACTGTATGGCTGTGGCTCAAAACCAGTAATGTTGGCATACATCTATCTAAATAAAATAATTTTTCAAAAGTGTTCATTGTATTCCCCAAAACTACTTATTAAAAAGATGTATAAACCTGTAATTGGTTTTCTTACAGGTCCTACTATGGGGGGATTGACATCAGGGATAAAAAATGTATAACATTAGAAAGATCCTAACCAAAGAAAAAGTTCCCCCAATTGCTGATTTGAAGTGAAAGCATGATTACCCCTATTTTTCCCCCCAAAGAAATGTATCTTAATCAATAAATATGTAATTCCAAACAAAGAAACTCAGTTAAAAAAAAACTATAAATCAATATTATCCCTTCAATTACATTCACAAGTTCAAGGAAGGGTCTTTGTTCTTTCTGTAAAGAGTCAGAAACAAATTGACACTTATTTTAAAGTTATGTTTATACTAAATCATTGATCTCAATATCTCAAATTAAAGTCACCATTAAATCAAAATTGACCATTCTTATTTTTTTACAGAATATTGGAGCAATTATTATAAATGATTTGTGCAATTGCTCTTGTAATCGTTAATAATAATAAAAAACTTCCCCAATTTACTAATTCCCTAACTTCCTAATTTAGAGGAATATTAGAAGTTTAATGAATTAAAAAATGATGTGCACAGATAAATCATCATAATAAGTAGTAGCTGCAAAATTCTAATATATAAAAATTAGAATGGCCAATTTTGATTTCATGGCGTCTTTAATAATGACATAAAAGGTAATAAATATGACAGTCATATAAGAATAAAAAGTAGAAATTATGACGTTAAAGGTCAGAATTATGACATAGCCTACTAATTTGAAATGACAAATTCGAAATTATGACTTTCTGCTATAATTTTACTTCTTATGTCGTAATTCGAGTTTTTCATTGTCATAATTTTCACTTTGTATGTCAAAAATATGTCGTTTAAAGTCATAATTTCGAGTTTGCATCTCATAATATAACTTAGTATGTCATTATTTCGACTTTTCATCTCATTATGATTTACAAAAGCACTATTTTTTTATATGTGGTAAAATGGGCTTCCATATAACAACTCCTGTTCTCTTACGAGAGGTTCTCTCGTATTGCGTAAGCTAGCTTACGCTGCGGGAAAGATTCATCTTTGCTGAGATATTGAAGCCAAAAAATTATTTCATAATTTTGTATCCATACACAACGCAGTTCCTCTGCGGCAGACCTAGAGCGGGCTAGCTAGCAGCTCATTGGTTCGCTCAGAGAGAACTGCTTAAGCCTATGGGAGAGCGGGGCTGAACCCGCTTCCAATGAGAGGCGCCCGCGCGCTCATTGCGTCATGACCCGCCAGAATGGGCGTGGCCATGGTGTATATAAGGCGCTCTCCCAGGCTTATATGTTGATTCATTTCATCTTCAGCAAGCTGCACGCTTCTGCTGTTCCTGAGAAAAGCCATCGCCGTCGAAGAAGGCATCCTCTAGCGAGCTCAAGGACCCTGAAGAAGCCGGCCGTCTTCGCCACCTTCAGCCGCCCAGCAAGCTAGGCCATCCGACGATTGTATCCTTTCTCTATTTCTAAAAGAGCCGAGCGTCTTTTTAAAGATGTCTCGTTTTTCCTGCGGCTCTTGCCGCGCTCGTCTCGAGGACGGAGACCGCCATGTCATCTGCGCTCTCTGCTTGGGACTCGAGCATGCAGAACTCGCCCTCGCTGATGGAGGATGCGACCTCTGTGAAAGCCTGCCGTTATCGTCCCTGCGGGCACGACTTCTGGCAGTGAAAACCGCTCCCGCGCCGCCTATTCTCTCGCCGCGTAAAAAGAAACGCCGCTCTCAAAGGCCGCCGGAGCCCCCAGCGGAAACATGCGGGCCGCCGCCGCCGCCTCCCGCTTCCCGCTCTCCCTCCCCGCCCCTGCCGGACATTCAGTTGCCGCCGAGTGGCCGCTCTGTTGTTTCCGATGACGCCGCGGAGGAGAAGGACTCCTGTTCACTGCTCGCTTCTGACAGTGAAGACTGGTCATCTCTCGGATCCGCGAGAGAGTCGACGGGGACCCGCGCCGGGATAGAAGAGGAGCTGATGCGCCTCCTCTCACAGGCCGTCGAACGCCTCGGTCTCGAGTGGTCTCCTCCACCCGAGCAGGCCCCGAACCGAATGGACGGTAGCTTTTTTCATCGGCGCTCGACCCCCGCGTGCACCCGGGCCGCTCCATTCCTGCCTGAACTTCACGCAGAGCTGACAAAATCCTGGAATGCACCGCTCTCGGCTAGAAATCGCTCCGATGTATCCGCCTCGCTGCGCTCGGTGGACGGAGCCGCCGAGAAAGGCTATGCAGCCATGCCGCCCGTCGAGGACTTGGTCGCCACACACCTCTGCCCGCCCTCCGCTAGATGGCGTTCTTCACCCACGCTTCCTTCGAAGGCTTGCAGAGCGACCTCGAGCTTTCATGCTCGCGCTTACGCCGCCGCCGGTCAGGCCGCCGCTGCGCTTCACTCTATGTCTGTCCTCCAAGTGTTACAGAGCGATATTCTCCGTGAATGGGCCGAAGGCGGTAGAAAACCCCCCCCCGCCGTCACGGATTTGAGAAGTGCTACGGATCTCGCCCTTCGCGCCACTAAAGCCGCCGCACAAGCTCTGGGGAAATGCATGGCCAGCCTTTGTGTTGCTGAGAGACACTTATGGCTCACGCTCGCCGACATGGGAGATTCTGAGCGCGCCGCGTTTCTCAACGCGCCCCTCTCCCCGACGGGCCTGTTTGGATCTGCCGTCACGGGAATTGTCGATCGCTTTTCTGAAGTACAGAAAGCTTCTCAGGCGATGAACTTGTTTCTACCCCGCCGCGCTAGCTCTTCAGCGGGCCGCTCTCACGAGCCCTCCGCCAGAGCCCCATCACAGCGCCCCCCTCCGCAGACTCAAACAACTCAGCGCAGTCAGAGCGGCCGCCCTCGCCCTCGCTCTCGCTCTGACAGCCGCCGCAGACCGCCGCCCCCCCGTGGCCCGCGACCCAAGATCACGCTGAAGCCTGATCATCAGAAGTCTGCCTAACAATGTCAAGAAAACGACGGTGCTCTCCCGCCGCGGCCGGACCGCCGTCAAAGCTTCGCCCTCTGCCAGTCCCCGTTATTTCGCCGACTGCTGTAGTGTTGACCGCCACAAACAAGCCGGTGTCCCAGCCCGCTTGCGAGCGACAAAAAGCCGTTTTTACGGCTACCCAGAGAAATCTCAAAAAGAGAAATTTTGCCAGTTGTGTAGAAAATGTGCCCACAATCATGTGTTCACCCATACACACAAGCATAACATATCCCGTGTCTCTATCAGAGCCCCATCACATGAAACGGGCACAGCCCGCTCTAATATCAGAGAACATAAACACGCCCACGAGCTCGTGCACGTGTCCCCTCTCTGCTCGCTCTGTGTCACGGCCCATAGACTCCTCTCTGAGTGCAAATCCCGTTGCCACACACATTCAAAGCGCGCCCACACACTGTGTCCAGCCCGCTATGTGCAGCAATCAGGGCAATACAGCCATTCGGCCACTAGCCGCATGCTCCAAAGCGTGGGAAGCCATTCCAGGCATTTCCCCGTGGGTGTTAAGCATTATAAAGAACGGCTACCTGCTACAGTTTCGCCGCCGCCCGCCTCGTGCGCGCGCGCAGCTCGAATCTTCTGTCAGCCCGCTGGCCGCCGGCACGCTCCGCTCAGAAATTGCGACGCTGTTGCAAAAGGGCGCGATAGAGAGAGTCCCGCCATCTATGACCGAGTCGGGGTTTTACGGCCGTTATTTTCTGGTTCCCAAGAAAGACGGCGGCCTCAGACCGATCTTAGATCTCAGGTCTTTGAACAAAGCGCTCATGAAGAGACCGTTCAAGATGCTCACTACCAGGAAACTCCTCGCGCAGGTGCGCCAAGGGGACTGGTTCATATCTCTAGACCTGAAAGACGCCTATTTTCAGATCCAGATAAATCCCCGTCACAGGCCATTCTTACGTTTCGCCTTCGAGGGTCTTGTTTATCAATACGCCGTTCTCCCGTTCGGCTTATCTCTGGCGCCCCGTACATTCACGAAGTGCATGGATACGGCGCTCGCCCCCCTGCGAAGCCAGGGGCTGCGCATTCTGAATTATCTGGACGACTGGCTGACTTTGGCCCAATCACAGACGGAGCTTCTGTCGCACCGCGCAGTTCTCCTCGACCATTTGGAAACGCTGGGCCTCTCTGTCAACTGGACAAAGAGCTCCCTTCATCCCAGTCAATCGATTTCCTTCCTAGGAATAGATTTGGACTCGGTCACGATGACGGCTCGCCTGTCTACACAGCGCGCGCGCAGTGTTCAGCGTCTAGCCGCCTCGTTCCAGATGGGCACCCGCAGGCCTCTGAAAACTTTTCAGAGGATGCTGGGTTACATGGCCTCAGCCTCCGCTGTACTTCAGCTGGGCCTTCTGCACATGCGCCCGCTTCAGTTCTGGTTGAACAGCCGTGTACCCCACCGCGCGTGGAACACGGGTCGCCAGCTGATCAGGGTTACGCAAACGTGTCTCACGGCGCTGCAGCCATGGACAGTAGCAGAATGGTTTCGTCTAGGCGTCACGATGGGGACCTTTTCCTGCCGAAAAGTCATCTCGACAGATGCATCCAACACGGGTTGGGGTGCAGTCTGCGAGGGCTCACCGGCCTTCGGCCACTGGTCGATTCAGGAAAGCCCATTACATATAAACTGTCTGGAAATGCTGGCGGTCGAGAACGCGCTCTCGCACTTTCTCCCGCGCATCCAGGGACACCACGTCCTGATCCGTTCGGACAATATGGCCGTGGTCTCCTATCTCAACCGTCAGGGCGGTGTCAGATCCAGAAATCTCTGTCGACTGACGCACCGCATTCTAGTTTGGTCTCAGAGCCGCCTGCTCTCGCTCAGAGCGACGCACGTGCCGGGCCATCTGAACGACGGTCCAGACATACTGTCCAGGAACCTCATCTCCACAGGAGAATGGTCCCTGAACTCACAGACGGTCCAGTTACTGTGGCGACTATTCGGCAGAGCAGAAGTAGACCTCTTCGCGTCAGAAGAGAACGCTCACTGCCCAATATATTTCTCGAAGAGCGAGGACGCGCTAGCCCAGGAATGGCCTCGCCGCCCGCTCTATGCATTCCCTCCGATCGCTCTGTTACCACAGGTAATTCAGAGGATCAGGGACACACGCCACTCGGTGCTCCTCATAGCCCCGCGTTGGGAGAGTCAGAATTGGGTTCCGGAGCTCACGCAGCTGTCACAGACAGCCCCGTGGCCCATCCCAGTCAGAGCAGATCTCCTCTCTCAAGCTCGCGGCACGATCTGGCACCCCCATCCACAGCGCTGGGCGCTGCATGCATGGGTGATCAACGACTATTCGTTGATTTGCCAGAGGGAGTAAGAAACACTGTCATACAGGCTAGAGCACCTTCCACGAGAAGGCTCTATGCGTCTAAATGGTCTGTGTTCTCAAAATGGTGCACCGACAAACAGCTGGACCCACGGTCGTGCGAGGTGCCGTCTTTGCTTGTTTTCCTTCAAGAGATGCTGGACAAGGGCAGGTCCCCCTCCACTCTCAAGGTTTATGTGGCAGCCGTCGCGGCGTTCGCTGAACCCCGACGCGCTCAGTCATTGGGCAAAGACGAGTTAGTCATCCGCTTCCTCAGGGGAGCTAAGAGGATGAACCCTCCGCGGCCCCCGTCGGTTCCGGTTTGGGATCTTTCTATAGTCCTTGAAGCTATGAAAGCACCCCCGTTCGAACCGCTCGAGTCTGTGGATCTGAAATACCTCTCGCTCAAAACCGTTTTCCTGACGGCTCTGTCCTCAGTTAAACGCGTTGGGGATCTTCACGCGCTCTCATCCAGCGCCGCGTGTCTTGAGTTTGGACCGAATGATTCGATTGTCATTCTCAAACCTAGGCATGGCTATGTCCCGAAGGCGATTGGTACCCCGTTCAGGGCTCAGATTATCTCCCTATCGGCTCTGCCTTCATCCGATAGTGAGCGCGATGCCAATCTCCTTTGTCCGGTGCGGGCTCTGAGATTGTACACTACGCGCGCTGCCGCGTTCAGACGCGCTGAGCAGCTTTTCGTGTCGTTTGGGGGGCGCACCAAGGGTCTGGCCGCCTCAAAACAGACACTGTCTAGATGGATAGTGGACGCTATCGCCTCTGCTTACGCATCTAAATGCCTGCCCTGCCCTCTGGGCATCAGGGCGCACTCCACTAGAGGCATGGCCTCATCGTGGGCATGGTCCTGTGGAATTTCCATTCATGACATTTGTGTGGCCGCGGGATGGGCCTCCCCGTCCACTTTTGTCAGGTTTTATAACTTGGAAGTTCCCGCCTTGCAGGCAAAATTACTAGCTGTCTGACGAACAGCTCTCTAAGAAGCTGCATTTCTGGAGGTCCCTCACAACCGGTTCGCCCCTTGTGCTCTCCTGTAATGCTTATACACTTCATGTGCCCGCTCTGCTGGCCCCATACATGCTTATGTGTACACTTCATGAGCCCGCTCTGCGGCCTCTTTGTACATTCACTCCACGTTAAGAAATTCCCCCGGTATATCCCTGGGTTTTTTCATGAGTGGATTCGTAGCGCGCACGGCGTTGGCCAGGTGTTCCCGCAGCGTAAGCTAGCTTACGCAATACGAGAGAACCTCTCGTAAGAGAACGAATCGGTTACCTAACGTAACCTCGGTTCTCTCTAGAAGAGGGAACGAGTATTGCGTTCCCGGCCGTGCTTGCGCTACTAGCGTTTCGCTTCACGCTGAAATAAATCAACATATAAGCCTGGGAGAGCGCCTTATATACACCATGGCCACGCCCATTCTGGCGGGTCATGACGCAATGAGCGCGCGGGCGCCTCTCATTGGAAGCGGGTTCAGCCCCGCTCTCCCATAGGCTTAAGCAGTTCTCTCTGAGCGAACCAATGAGCTGCTAGCTAGCCCGCTCTAGGTCTGCCGCAGAGGAACTGCGTTGTGTATGGATACAAAATTATGAAATAATTTTTTGGCTTCAATATCTCAGCAAAGATGAATCTTTCCCGCAGCGTAAGCTAGCTTACGCAATACTCGTTCCCTCTTCTAGAGAGAACCGAGGTTACGTTAGGTAACCGATTCGTTTTCAACTCCTCCCCCTGCAACCGGCTCTGCCTGCTCGCCCTTCATGTTCATGTCGATCACACACACACAGTTCAACAAGTTGGTTGGTTTGCCACAGAGGAAATGACCAACTTTCTCTTTGCTTAGATAGTTTCCCCCTCACTGTAGTCGACTTTAAAATGAAATATGGCACTTTGAAAACGATATCCTCTACCATGGGCGAACTTTCTTCGAACTTTTCATGAGATTGAACTTTGGATGACAAACAGTTTGAGGGAAACAGAACGGACTAGAAGGACACATTATGGCAATATGTGGCAGACGGAGTCGGTCGAAGTTCATTCTGTACGTTCTCGGGGCTTTTGTAGTGGGATATTTAGTGTTTCATAGGAACACGCAGAGTGATGTCGGCCTGGCGAGTCGAAGAGAAGTGCCAGTCGAGCAGCGCGGAAATGTGGACGAAGATTTACTGAAGAAACCGGTTTACGAGAAGCCTCCTTTAGATGTAAATGCTTTGGGAGAGATGGGTAGAGCCGTTAAACTAGACCTGACTGAAAAAGAGAAGCGAGAGGAAGAGGAGAGCATCAGAAAGCATCAGATAAACACTTATGTGAGCGATAAAATATCACTACACCGCAGACTGCCTGAAAGATGGAACCCACTGTAAGTCTCCATGCTGTACACGAATGTTTGAAGTTTGTTCTGATACTCAGCCTCAACAGATCATTAACTCGTTGATATAAATGTATTAAATGTATTTATTTGAATAGCATCAGAATGTAGAAGAGGATACAGATTGTAGTTTATTGTTTAAATCCGCATAGATTCATTGCAAAACAGGGAAGTTGTAAATGTTTTTGTAAACAGTCCCTATCTTTGCCCCAGTGTTTAATGTGCGATTACAGATAGAGAACGTCTACAAAGTACCCGAGGAGGAGAAAAACGTCACATCTATTGGTGCAGTTTGCAGTTGGCCTTACTCTCATATAAATTATGCATAATAATATTAAATCAAATAAAAACATATCCAAAATCCAAAGGGGATGTTATTTTTTATTTACAAAACAAACAAAAAATACTATTGAAATGTTAAAATAATAAATAAAATCCACAGCAGTCATCCTTTTTTTTTTTCCGGAACAAGGACCCATTTGTGGACCCCTAATTACAAAATGAATAAAAAAAATAGTTGGAAGTGACCAAGTGTCCCTCCCAAATCCAAATGGTGTGCATTATTATAGCCAGTTAGAGCAGTGGTTCTCAACCTTTTTGACTCCAAGGCCCTCCTTTTTCCGAGACAATATTCAAAGTTAATTTGTAACTATTAGTTATTTCCTTAGTTAATATGTACCTCTGGCACATCTGTTGTAATAAAACCAATTAACAACAACAACAACAACAACAAAAAAAGTCAGTTTAACGTTGCACATCTTTTTTCTTTTTTTTTTGTGCATTTTATTTAAAATATTATGTTACTATAACTCAATTCAAATAATCTTAAGACTTACTGAGGCCCCCTAGTGAGCTCCGGCCCCCTGGTTGAGAACCCCTGACCTAGAGGAACACTCTGCAATTGGTTTTACCGTAATAGGTTAAACATTTATGTAACTCATTTTATCAAACTGTTATTTTATTGACTCTTTTTGGTCGTGTTTTTAATGTGTTGTGTTTATTGTTTGCATCATATTTGTTAAATGAAGCCTTCAATATTTTATAATGACAATTAGGCTTGAACAGATGCATCTGTGGTGGTTATTTTATTTATGTATTTTTGCTTTTTAATTAATATGTTTATTTCTATCTTTATATGCGATGTTATATTTTTGTACCTGTAACTGTGGTTTTACAATTACATTTTAGTTTGATTTTGATTTGATATTGTGCCACGTTTTGTGATGTGCCGTTGTGCCTAATTAGCAATAGCAAATGCATTAAGATAAAAATATCCTGCAGTTACTGTGCATATTTGTTTATTATAATGCTACTGTAAACATTAATGCAGTCTGGCGATGTACAGCAGCAAGCAAGACATTAACTAACACGATCTGTCTATTCAGATGTAGAAACCTGAAATATGACTACCTGAGCCTGCCCACGACGTCGGTAGTGATAGCCTTCTACAATGAAGCCTGGTCCACACTTCTGCGGACAGTGCACAGTGTCCTGGAGACCTCGCCTGACCTGCTGCTGACTGAAGTCATACTGGTGGATGACTACAGTGACCGAGGTATCAGTCTGAACGGAAACTTCTCATGCAATCTTTGAGCACAGGATTGTCAAAAGATCATATGTATTAAAAGGTAACCATATTAGGATGAACTTGGAGCACTTTTGATTTGAGACAAGAAGGAAGTGGGAACCACCAAGAACATCATATATCTGCCAGTGGGGTCAGAGAAATAATCTTGTTTGCAAATGGTTTAAAAAATTAATTACGCCACAACTATAATTAGCTTGTGTGTCCATCAAAGCATTGCTTCCATGTTGTTGTAGTTGTTTTCTGTGGGAGCGGCATTACCTTGTCTATGGTTTTGTGCGTTTATGTGTTTTTTTTATTTATTTCTCTATCTGTACTCTGTATTTTTAGGGATTGTGAAGCACTTAAATGTGCTATACAAATAAATAAATGAAATGAAATATTTCACACTGAGCGCTTGACGTTTTTCCCCGGACATCGAGATATGAGAAACGTTAAAGTTTTGAGCTCACCACTGTCGCTTCCCACCCAGCCGTCCAATCACAGTGGAGGAGGGGCGGGGCAAATCCCACACCGACCAATCGCCACAAAATGCTTTAAAACTCTTGACCTGCTGAACGGTGGAGTTTCCCCCGTTGAGTATGGCGATTCCCAGCTTGAGCGTGGAGGCCACCATCGGCCACATCTCTCCTGCACACAAACACACTCCCATCAGCCCTGATCACAGCACACATGCGCCGGCCGAGAGCCGCTGAGGACGGCGTGTGTGTGTCTGACCTTTGCTGGCGCTGATGGTCTGCAGAACCATCTCTGCGGCGCCGCGGTCGTGGAGTCTGGCCTGCTGATACAGCAGCTTCTGCTTCTCCATCTCCTTCTCCTGCAGAGGACAAACACACGCTCACTGGGTGTTCACTGGGTGTTCACTGTGTGTTCACTGTGTGTTCACTGGGTGTTCACTGGGTGTTCACTGGGTGTTCACTGTGTGTTCACTGGGTGTTCACTGTTCACTGTTGCCTTGGCAACAAAATGAAATAAGTTGAAGTTGAAGCACTAGAATTATTATCTGGAAATAAATAAAACTAAAACTGGAATAAATATAAATAAAACCTAAATAGCAATATAAAAAAAAAATAATAATTAAATGACAAAAGCACATGGTGAAATTACAAAACATTTAACTAAAATTAACATTAAAATAAAAATAAAAAATAAAAATGGATAAGCTAGTTAAAATAAAAAAGCTAATTAATTAATAAAACTTAAATAACACTGCAATGGACAAAATATTATCTTTTTAAATGAGTAAATCAGATAGACGTTTTTTTTAAAGTTAATGGAAAACGAAAAAAGATATATACATATATAAACGTGAACATAAAATATGCAAATGTATAAAATAAACATAAAAATAATAATTATATTAATAACAAATAAAAAAATGCACATAAATAAATAAATAAAAAATAAAAATAAACGATGGCTTACCCAACTTATACTTAACTTATCTCCTAGGCTTATATTCATGTTTCATAAATTTTACATTTACAAAAAAAAAAAATCCTGTGTAAAATGACGCAGGGTGTTAATATAATAGTGTACATAAATAAGCATATAATAGCTGTTTTTTAAGTTCAAAATAAATCAAAGATTTGAAAACTCATTCTTATCAATGAAATACCACAGCAACAACATCATCTCAGCTCCACCCTGTGGTGAAACCGCAAGTTGTTCCTTAATGCAAAAGCCAATTAGCATATTTCTGTCCTACGTTCTTGTTTCCTTTAGGACTGCAGCTGTTACTGAGCACTTCTCATGACTTTGATCCACAGATCATTTAAAGGAGCCTCTAGAAAACTACATCGCCAATATCAAAAAGGTGCGTCTGATCCGAGCTAGGAAGCGAGAGGGTTTGGTGCGAGCGCGGCTCCTGGGAGCTTCCATTGCCACAGGAGATGTACTGACCTTCCTCGATTGCCACTGTGAGTGCCATGAAGGCTGGTTGGAGCCTTTACTCCAGAGGTGAGACAGATAACCCCCTCTTTATAAACCCAAAACATGCAGTATTTCCAAAATGTGTGTATACATTTGCTCTTTAGCAAATATTGTTATGGCAAAATGCTTTCACAGTTAATTTTGCGTTTAGATAGGATTTGCATAGCAAAATTTGCATGCTTTTTTTATTTGCTACGTGTCACATCACAGTTTGTTTTATGAGAACTAATATTTATCTCCCTTTTTATCTTGAAATCTTGTAGAATTAAGGAGGAGCCTTCGGCTGTGGTGTGTCCAGTAATTGACGTCATTGATTGGAACACCTTCCAGTTCCTGGGAAACCCTGGAGAACCTCAGATCGGGGGATTTGATTGGCGATTGGTGTTCACGTGGCACACTATCCCAGAACATGAGCAGAAACGCAGAAGTTCTGCCACTGATGTTGTCAGGTCTGTGCTTCATGGTTGCACCTAAGCAGAAAACAATTTGTAATACTAAAGGAAACGTGTTTAATTTTTGGTCCTGTTCCAATTGAAAAACAATGCAACATGGCGTTGATATGTTCAGTCTAAGTTTTGGTTGGTATGTCATTGGGTTTTGAGCTTTATTATGCTTCGCCTGATTCATGAGGGTTCAAACACGCTCAGCAGAGCAGTCTGTTTTTAATATCTGCAGATTTTAAGATTTAATACGTTTTTTATGGCCATATTTCAGGCACCAGAACTGTTAAGGTGAACATAATTGAACGGGCTCTCTACTAATTAAATATCAAACTACATTAAACCCTGCCTTTATGCTTTTCCTGGAAGTTAATGTAATTTTACTAGTAGACACAGAAATAATTCTGTTTGTTTCTTTGATTCAGGTCTCCTACAATGGCTGGGGGTTTGTTTGCAGTCGATAAGAAGTACTTCCTTTACCTGGGCACATATGACACAGGAATGGAGGTGTGGGGTGGAGAGAACCTGGAGTTCTCATTCAGAGTAAGTGCATTTTGTTGCTTTTTCTGAAACATTCTCCTCTAGATTCTCTCCAAGTTTTGGCTTCCTGAGGTGGGCCTTTGGGCAGATGGTGACAATCCTAGTTTGAAAACTGTGTGATGAGTCACACAAGGTTAGGAGGTCGCTCTGCGCCTTTATTAAGTGTCTGCCAGCAAGTATGATGACTAAAGCGACCTTCACTGTTTATGCTGCATTTACTTACTCATAATTCCTCTGATTACTCAGCTCATGCCCTGAAGGATTCCAACACTGTTACATAGACAGTAATGGTTCATTTGAGTTTTGAGTGCCTTGAATGCCTTAGGATGTGTTTTAACCAGAATCTGGCAGGAAACATCACAAAGTCCAGACAGATGCTCTTTCAATGCAATTTGACAGATCAGCGTGTATCCTACTGTGTCCTGCAGTACTACAAACCATACCCCTACAAATTACACCCCTACTACAAGTTACACCTCTACAAAGAACAAGCCAATTAGGGGATCTTATCAGAGGGCGAATTCCAAACAGCGTTTTTGCACTCTTGAAGAGCACTTCGGGAAGGGAACGCCATTTGTAGGGGTGTTCCAAACGAAAGTGAACAACTGAATACTGAACAACTGAGTTTACACAAGTCCATTAGCGATGGGTGCATGCGATTGTCACTTCAAAGAAGTAATTTTAGCGTTTATTTATGGTCATGTGACATAGGGTGTTAAATCGTCACGATTAATTTTAAAGCTTGATGGTGGGAGAGTTCGAGTTAACGTATAAACAATAATTCAAGTCGCTTTGTTTTGTTTGTAATATATAATACACACATTTTGTCATACATTTCATATGAAGTTTAAATAAGTTTCAAGGGTAAGAAATGTTTAATAGTAGATAGCAGATAGGGAATATACTCACACAAACACACACACATATACATAAACTTCATTATAAAATAATTTATTTGGAACAAGTATATTAATAGCAATAACAAGAAGTTCCTGTTGTAAGAACAGCTAATGAACTGATGGAAATTCAACTATAAAATACTTCTTTATAGTACATTTTAATAATAATAAATATAATAATATTTTTAAAATAATTATTAAAAGAATAATTTGCCTTGGCTTTATTATAATGACAAAATAAAAGCCAATTATGTAAAACAATACGTTGTCTTTATAATATTACACATAATATTTTTTCTCACACAGTATAAAAGGGTCTGACTCTGTACAAGAAAAGAAAGAATCATATTTGGAGGTCCCTGACATCAAAACATTTGTCTTAGGAGGCTGCATAATTTAATAGCCAAATATGCCTGATGCCTAAAATGCTGCCTATGTATGGATTATTACGGATGGCTAATCCATTTCCTGTCTTGGTGGTGTTTTTCAGATCTGGCAGTGTGGAGGGACTCTGGAAATCCATCCTTGCTCTCACGTGGGTCACGTGTTTCCAAAGAAAGCGCCATATTCAAGAAACAAGGCCTTGGCCAACAGCGTGCGGGCGGCAGAAGTCTGGATGGATGAATTCAAAGAAGTGTATTACCACCGCAGCCCTCATGCACGTCTGGTACGCCTACTTGTGCGGTCTGTTGCATAACTCTGCTTTTGTTTGCTTGTCTGCTCGTTTTCAAAGAGTATGTTTATATCACCATCTATCTTTGAGATTAGAGGAAATAGACTCTTTTTGAACGTTGCACATAGTATTTGGCACAATCTGTTGATATGCTCTGAATGAATGGCATTTAGCAGGTGGGCTGAAACTCCTCGGGTGACATTCTCTGTGCTCAGTGTGAAATTACTATAGTGAGAAGTGCAGCAACTTTCAGTCCGTGTTTGTCATTCACGGTCCCCACTGAGCCCTGTAGTTAAAGAGAGAGGTGCTCTTGGTGACAGATCGGGTGACCCTTTTCTCTCTGAACCTTGGAGATGCTGCCAGGCTGGCACTGGCAACTCGAAATCAATCTAATGTGATGCCAGAAGATAAGTCTCTCTCTCTCTCTTCAGGTATAAACCACAGGCAAACACTGGCCTTGCCAGCGTGGATCAGGTTTGACAACCTTCATACTCGGCTTCCACGCAAATTCGTAAGAGGATCACTCTCTCTTTCACCCTCCGAGCCTCACGGCATATTTTATTCATGGCCCAAATCTCTGGCGATTGTGCCACACAGTCCTAAAGATCAACAAAACAGGGCTCTGTGATGGATCTCGATGATCAGAAAGCTTCATTTGACAGCCGCTTGATTGACCGTGTAGCTGGACGGTACGTGCCTGCCTCAGGACTTTGTTGAGACTGAAGATCACAGACAGATCATCAATGTGTGTGATGTTGTGCCACCCGGCTGGCACTCACAGCAGGGCTGTACGTTATTGATGAATCACTATCAAGTTGGTTAATTAGAAGTACACTTCCTTTCATTCATCTTTCCGCAGAGCTGCTGAACCTTTTCGATAGAGCTCTACTTCCAACAGATGTTCCTCAAAAGGGATCATATCTCTGGCAACACTGTGCAGACCATCACTCACCAGTAATTCTTGCCTGACAGGCGGTTATGAGGGGGTACCACAGCCACAAACAAACAGGGGAACTTGGCCTATATCAGTCTTGTTTGCTGAGGTGGGGTTGCAGCATTATTTTGCGAGAGGATGTTGCATCGTAGTATTTTATGGTTTACCGCAGCGGGGTAATTGCATCAGAATGTTTAAAAAACAAGATGACAAAGTTTGATTAGATGTTTGGTTTTATGTGATCATTTTGTGAAAACAGATGATGTACTATGAAGAGAGAGCACAGTCTGTTCATGTGACATTTACTAAAGTCCCAATATAATTCAAGCGAAATCGAAGAACAGACAGACATCATTTCGAACAAAATCAGGCCATAACGAAGTCTGTTTCAGGAGTTTGAAACAGCTTGCCAAAACTTACTGGAAAAGTGTGCTCCGGCTGGTAAACACATTTGAACTACGATTGGTCCGTGCCGATGACATAATAGGTGGGTGTGCACCCTCTATGATGTGAAAATCTTCTCCAGTTAATTTCTTTTTTCAGTTTGTCAATGGCAGATGCGAGTAAAAAATGAACAGACTGAAGTTGTGATTCTAATTGAAGGAAACACTGATACTGTTTTTTCATGTTTACTACTGTAAAGCTGCTTGCTTTAAAGCAATCTATTGTATAACGTGCCATATAAATAAACATGAATTGACTCGATTGAAGTGCCGAATTGCAGAGCTAGCGTGACCATATCCACATCGCTATGATCAGATGCTTTCTTAACTGCTGCTTTCTCACTGCTGTCATTTTTCTTGTTTATTTTATTTTGCGCTCAGCACATATTTACATATTAATATAAACGCCGCTATTAGCAGCATGGGCGGCATAAGGATGTTCACTTACTGTCTACTGCTTAAAAGGTATTTCAAGCTTCTTTTTACCCCTATTCGAAGAGTGAAAATGAACTTTGCCTTCAGTATATCGAGGTCTTAAGGCAAGAATTATCATTGCTCATACTTAAACGATTCCTAAAGACATATTCACACTGTGGACGAAATTTTTGTCTTTGACAAAGAAAACATACTGACCAATGGTATATGAGCTTTCGTTTCACATTCTCTGGGGCGTGAGATACACCTGTTCATCCCCCCCCCCCCCCCCCCCCCCCCAATAATCATTTTATAATTTATGCTCTTAATTAAAATAAAATATTGACTGTAGTATTTCAGAAATAACCATTTTCTATGCAGAGCTACAACACTTATGTTTCACTAATGTGAAAACCCAATGCAATATGTGTGAAACAACTACGTGTTAACCGCTGTTGCTGCACAATTCACTAAAGCTTTTGGTATTGGATGTAGAGCTGCTGTTGTCTATTTATACCTCTGAAACAGTTTGTCCTGCAAGTAAAAACTCATTCTCTTTTGAAAGTGTGCAAATAATACGCTTTTTGTGCATGTATAATAAATGTGCACAAATCGTGTTAAATTGTCATCATTTACTCACCCTCAAGTTGTTCTAAACCTGTATGAGTTTCTTTGTTCTGTTGAACACAAAAGAAAATATTTTGAGGAATGTGGGTAACCAAACAAACCAAAGGTCCCCTTTGACTTCCATAATATGAAAAAAGTCAATGGGGACCAAAAACTGGTTAAATTCCAAAGTTTGGTCCTCCTTTCCTTCATTCCTGGTGTTTTTTCTTAATTCATATTATAATAATATATGTATAATGTATATTATTATGCATCACTGTACCTTATGCTATATTAGAGCAATTATTAACTTGTTTTCTTTGCTATTTTTCAGGAAGCATATGGTGATGTGACGGACAGACGGAAACTCCGAATGCGTCTTAGGTGTAACGATTTTAAGTGGTTCTTGGAGAACATCTACCCTGACATTCAAGTCCCAGAGGACAGGCCTGGAATGTTTGGCATGGTGAGAGGATGCAAACTTCTTGTGTTTACATGCACAGCTTTGTAACAGCAGAGCTCCAGAAGTAAAAATGCCATTATCCATATATGTTCTTTTGGTTCAAAGTTTAAAATGCAAGGGGAAGCAAATTGTGACATAATGAAACGAGTTCACTTCCTTTACAATCAACAAAGCGAGTGGAAAAGTGTAGACTACATTCAAAATATGGGACTATTTCATTTAAAGGTTGAAATAATCAGAACTTTTTCTGATTTTTTTTTTAGAAATAATATAGTTTAAAAAGAAAAGGAAAGATTAATGTCTATATAATTTTCTTTTCACTCATATTATGCTGATAATATAATTGATATATTTAAAAAATATATTAAATAAGAAAAAATTTTGGAATATTTCTTTGTTTCTTCTCAATTGTAGCTGAAGAGTAAAGGAAAGGCCAACTACTGTTTTGACTACAACCCACCTGATGATCATAATATGGCCGGTCACCGGGTCATTCTTTACCCGTGTCACGGCATGGGACAAAACCAGGTAACTTTCATTCTCTCAACTGTAACGACAGACATCCGTGCTGCTCCAAGAGGTGTAAAAAGTGTACCTGAAAACCATACTTGAGTAAAAGTACAGATACCTTACAGAGAAAATGACTCCATTAAAAGTTACAAGTCACCAATTTCAGTACGACTTGAGTAAAAGTCTTAGAGTATCTGATTTTAACAGCACTTAAAGGAGCCGTATGTAAGATTGTGGCCAAAACTGGTACTGCAATCACTTTCAAATTACTGTAGAGCGGTGTATACCCTCCCCCTCCCCCCTGACTTGAGGTTGCCAGATAGGCTGCAGGATCCAACATTTTTTTATCCGACACGTTTGTAGCTGCAGCTGTGGTGACTAGAGCAGAGCTGGCAACCCGGATGCTGCAACACTACTGACTTCGTGATTGGTAGATCGGTGGAGAGCGGAGCATCAGACCAAAACACAACATGACAACATCAACATCAGTTGAGGGCTGCAACTTCACTTTTTAAATGACAATATCATGGCTGGACTACTGTTGTCAGTGATACAAGTATTTGAAATTAACATGATTTATTAATGTCTAGTGACATATCAGGGCCATTTTATGATTATTTGAAATAAATTTCTTACATACAGCTCCTTTAAGTATTTTACTCGTACTGAATGTAGGCTCAAAGATGCACTAGTCCTCAACACCTAAGAAATATACCAGTGAAAAACAAGAAACAGCTGATTTGTGAGGAGAGATTTGCAATAAATCAAGGTCGACACAACAGCCTCTTAAACGTCTACAAACACTCATGTCTCAGTTAAGCTCAAGGGCTCAAAAGGGCATAAGTAAACAAATATCCTTCAAAAAGGTTTCTTCAATATAACAGATAAATAAATTACTTTTACTTGACTACTTGCGGGCTCCAGCCATGTCCTCATCTCTTATATGAAACACGTATTCGTGTTAAGTAGCCATGTTGACAAGTTACCTTCAATGCCCTGGCAATGGCGATGTTGCTTCTTTTGTTGCCGCAGAAAAAGTTAGGTGACATGCAAAATGTAAAATGTACACAAATGTATTGAAGTAAAGAGTACATATATTTATTCAAAACAATACACAGAGATTTCATGCTTCCTCAGGAATACACATGGAAGTGTCTCTCACAGCTGTAATGTATTATTAAAATGCCATTCTAATATGGCGCAGTAAATAGTGTGTTGTGCACTTCACAGCATGCTTGTTTTTAAAGTGACTTTAGCCGCCTGGCACAGCAGCGTGACTTCTTTCGTCTCCTCCCTCTCTGTGGGGAGGCAGATGAGCCCTGGAGACTTATCAGTGCACAATATCAGCTATGTACAGAACAACAACACTCTTCTAATGGAATAGAAGAGTGTAGTGAATACAAGACTCTCTGTGAATAGAGAGAAATGTTCTTCTGATTCTGTCTGGTTTAGTACATATGGGTCAATCCTGTTAAGCAGTACCTTTTGAGACTTGAAGTATTCTAATTCAACCTTTTTCAAAGTTTTGAATTTGTTTTTTGAATTTGTAATATTTCGCAATATTACCGTTTTAACTGTATTTTTGATTAAATAAATGCAGCCTTGGTGAGCATAAGAGACTTCTTTCAAAAACATAAAAACATTTGAATGTTTCCAAACTTTTGACAGATGCTATACACTTTTTATTATATAATATTATATTTGCTTTTATTACACAATTATCAAAAGAGGTATTTTCTTGTTCTTTACCTTACAGCATACTCTTTACCTAATAGGCCCGTAGATGTCACATGGACTTCACTTAACCAACTATGATAGCTTCATCAAACGGAAAGTCAATACAAAAATGTTATTGATTACAATAATGTGATTTAAACACTATATTTCCTATTAATACAACTACTGGTAATGCATGGTTTTGTTGAGTGCTTTGCAATTTCTCTTCAGATTTGATATTTTAAAGGCACACTGTGGAATTTTTGGCCACTAGGGTGCGCTCGACCTGTAATTTTCACGTCTAGTGCCCCTAGAGGCCACAAGCGCCGCAGCATTGTCGCAAAAGTCAACAAACAGTCAACCGGTCAACCTCCAGTGTCTTTATGTGTGTGCAGACGGCATTTGATTTGTATGTTGGAGAAAGTTAATCGATTCACTACGGACCAAAATAATAATATAAATATAAGATTAATAATATAAATCCTATAAAGAAAACAAATTGAATAAAAGTAGCATACGCAGAAAACAATGTCTGATCAGGTAAGTCGCATTGACAAGGGTTGCCCAATCCTGCTCCTGCCGATCGTCTGTCCTGCACAGTTCATCTCCAACCCTAATCAAACACACCTGAAGCAAACAATTAACGTCTTCAGGATCTCTTTGCAATGGGTTGGAGATGAAATCGAGTAGTCGGGAAATCGTGTAACAAAACTGATATAACTCACTACATATTTCCGTTATTTGTAGTCTTCAGTTTGTTTTTCCTTTTACACAAATACAAACGTATATGAGCTGAAAGGAAAAAAAAACATTTACATTTGTATACGGCAGTATGTTGTGACTTATATCAGTTTTGTTACACGAATTCGCAGTAAATATTACATTATATATAGGCTACACTTGTATGCCGATGTTTATTTTAAACTCTCCCTTTTTCTTTTTTTGGTCTCCTCTGACAAAATCTTTGCTTTCTTCGCTTTCTTCCGAGTAGCTGTTGATTCAGTCATGACGACAACATACAGACGCCGGCAATCAAACGCGAGTTGAGCTCTCACGTTAGAATTTGAGGAAGTTGGGGTGGTGGGGGAAGTGACGTATGCCGTAAAGCGGTCGAATCTTGTAGTTCTTTTTGTGCTCGGGTTCCTACCCGAAACCCGAAGTTACATAGTGCTGGTAAAAGCGATACAGACACCTCTTCAGGCTTCGGCAGACGTGTCATTCAACCTATTGTAAGTCGATGTCAATGGGTTTTGGTAATATATTATAAAGGTTGAAAAGTTCCACAGTGTGCCTTTAAGAGAAGCAATTCATCTGCAAATTAGACAAACCAAAGATCCAGATTGCTCCACAAATGCAAATTCATACTGACAGATTCAAATTCATACATCTTTTAATATGGTTAAACACTGCAAACAGATGGTGGCTCCGTAGTTTTCAACTGCTTTACATTGTGAAAACTGGTTTGTTGTCCGAAAGAACAGGAATCATAGAGGACACCAGGTTTATTTCTTGCCTATTCATTTGGGAAATCTTACTAATGCCAAAATTATATTAATCGTCCCATTCATTGACAACCATGTAAATATTCATCGTGCTCTCTAGATAGTCAGCTTGCTGACGATTACCGGTATGGAATTTCGGTCAAATACAGGCTATTTTCGCTGTGTATAAAACTTCAAATGGGTATTTATATATGCAAATTTATTATGCACTACTTTAACAACAAGACATGGTGATGTACCTGATATGGAAATATATGGCATTCATGTCCAAATTCCTACTAGGAAACTCGTATTTACGATAATCGATAGCATGTGAAGGCAGCATTAGTAGCAGCAAACTGCACACACGGTTTCATGAAGGAACAGACTGGCTGAATGACACTTTCATTCAAGCCGAATTTCACAATGTACATTGCCAAACTCCAACAAAAATGTTTGTCCGTTTTTTAAGATCATCTGTGTTTTTTTGCAGCCCAGAGAAAGCGTTTGCGCATGATTGCCAGATCAGAGAAGATTAAGTAAAATACTAGGAAGTATCATTTTAAGAGAAAAACTAGTGTTTTCCATCTTTAAAAAATGTGATTAAATATTTGATCTAATACATTAAGATACTATATGATGGGGGCAAAATGTACTGCATAACATGATTGACCCGTATGTGCGCCTCTATCAGATGTTGCTGTTTTTGGATTTGTCTTTGATTAAGATTTGATGTGTTGAGCTTCTGTGTGTGAATATTTTCCTTTCTCGTTTTGTGACAGTTCTTCGAGTACTCAACGCTCCAAGAGATCCGTTATAACACGAGGGATCCTGCAGGCTGTATCGTAGCTGATCCCGTCTCCACATTCCTTACCATGCAGCACTGCAGTAAACCCAGGGAACCTGTGCCCGAAGACCAGAAGTTTATATTCAGAGAGGTGAGATCATTGAACACATCAGTACAAACAGTTTTATTAAAATGAATTACATTAATCCCAAATAATCACATATATACTGTATATATACACTACTGTTCAAAGGTTTGGGGTCAGTACGATTTTTTTCTGAAATAAATGAATATTTTTATTCAGGAAGGATTCATGAAATTGATCAAAAAGTGACAGTAAAGACATTGATAATGTTACAAAAGATTCTATTTCAAATAAAGGCTGTTGTTTTGAACTTTCTATTCATCAAAGAATCCTGAAAAGAAATCACGGTTTCCACAAAAATATTAAGCATTAATTGATGATGATGATGATGATAATAATAAATGTTTCTTGAGCACCAAATCTGTATATTAGAATGATTTCTGAAGGATCATGTGACACTGAAGACTGGAGTAATGATGCTGAAAATTCAGCTTTTTCATCACTGGAATATATTATATTTTAAAACAGACGACAGTTATTTTAAGTTGCAAAACATTTTCACAATATAACTCTTTTAATTGTATTTTGATCAATTAAATGCAGCATAAGAGACTTCTTTCAAAAACATTACAAAAATCTTTCCAACCTCAAACTTTTAAACAGTATTGTATTTGCTGAGAAATGCCGGCACATAAAGATCATTTTAAGACAGTTTTGTTGCATTTGATTAAATCAATAAATAGACATCATTAGAATGTTATATATATTTATATAAATAAACACAACACTATCACTGACATTTAGTCATCAGCAATTAACATTCAATGCATAATGGTTGCTTTATAATTTTTTTTTTACTTTTTATAATTGTATTATATATATATATATATATATATATATATATATATATATATATATATATATCACTGATTCTTGAGAGTCGGGACAAAACACGTTTTAAAAAACTTTAAAAAAAAATACACACTATATCAATTAGAGTTGTATGTTTCTGCAGAGAAAGGTCTTAGCTATTTAACCATGTAAAGGAACAGGTTCTAAATAAAAACACATTTTTAACAAATAAGCATGTTTCCCTTCAGAACTGGATTTGTGTCAACTCCGTCAGACACACTAAAAAGTATACAATTTTAATTCTTCCAGTCCAAAAAGAATCTAAATTTCTGAAGTATATTGTAATAGTGTTTAGTTACTCTGATATGTAAACAAAATACAATATATAAACTTAAGTTGTGATTTCACACTATTCTGAAAACTCAGATTTCTAAATATTTGCATTTCCAAACTTTGATTTTAATTTCAATATTGTAAAAACAAATTCCTTAAATAAATAAAACATAAGATGATGTAGATCAGATGGTCCTTTATTCCAAAAACAACATAAACTGAAGGAAGAACATTTTTTTCCCCAAACAATTTACAAAAACAAAAACATACATCCAACGCTGTTGATGAAGATCTGACGGTGTTGATGAAAAACTGACGGTGTTGATGAAGATCTGACGGTGTTGATGAAAAACTGACGGTGTTGACAAAAAATATGTGTGCATTGTGATTATTGAACAGATGTGCTCTTTAAACTTACTAAAACTACTCCTTGTTATTAGAGTATTGAACTTACTGTAAAGCAAACTATAAGCACATACACCGTTTCCAACTATTATAAATTACACCGTTTCCAACTTTCAAAAAAAAAAAACAATAAGGGAAACCAGGGGACCTCCTCCCCCTCTGTTTTCATCTACCTCCCCTATACCACTTCCTGCTCTACTTTTTCTCATCCATCTCTTCTCCTCTTCCTTTCCTCCTTTGTAAGTAGCCATTTACTTTAAAGTGGCGTGTGTGTGTGTGTGTGCGTATGTGTGTGTTTGGGTGTGTTGGATGTGTGATTGCCCTGCACTGCCTACTTTATACTGGGTGTGATCTTAAATTGACATTCCTTGACAACAATACTGCAACACATAATCTGTAGCTTAGAATCAGGTTCAATTAGCTTACTTAAGATTTCATTTTTGTCTAACCTGCGCTTATGCCTTGAGCAGCAGGCGTTGGATATGCGTATGGTTAAATAATGTAATGCATGCTATGTATGTGGATTTATGTGTAAATAAAACCCTGAAATAACAGTTTAACCCTTCACTATATTCACAAATAATATTATATTTGCACATTAAGAGGTTATTGGTGGATTTGTCAACTCCGTCAGCTTATAGGTCAACTCCGTCAGACATAGAACCTGACGGAGTTGACGTCTGACGGAGTTGACGAAAGGGCATGTATTTTCCCGCCAAAACATGTATTGTACACTGCATCTAGGTAGTTTTTCCTCAGTTGCTAGCTGTCCCAATAACCTCACTAAAATGCTTAAATTCAATCCACTATGGTTTAAAAAAAGTATCTTAACAGAAAGATGGTATTGACATGGTGCAGCTGTGACCATAGGAATATTGACATTGTTTGTCTAAAATATAAAAAAAATGTTAAATGTACCAGAGCATGTGTGGTAGTGCTGCATTCACCACAGACAGGGAGATGAAAAGGGGTCCTCAAGGATATACCTGACCATGCTATTTCCTGATTTAAAGAGCTTTATGAAAAAATCTGATGGAGTTGACAGAAACTTAGGACACAACTTTAATAGGCAGATATTTATGGAAAATATTGTTTGATGTTCACTTCATGCATTGTTTTTTATATTTATACCCCTTATTTTTTATTTGATATATATGTTTTCACAATTGTAGAGCTTTTTAAAAGTTTTTTTGGGATGGTTAATATTGTAACCTCTTGCTGAGGACAAGTGCAATAACATGGACCATCTAACCACAGACCATACATTTTAACAACTTTTCCCCAAAAAGATAAAAAGGTTTATTCTAAAAATCAGATAGGTATATACAATTCCTTTAGATTTAACTTTGTAAGTATGTCATACATGATGAATTTCTTAATTTTTGCTATAAATTAGACTTTTCTTTGTGGGACATGTTTTGTCCCGACTCTCAAGAATCAGTGATATATATATATATATATATATATGTGTGTGTGTGTGTATATATATAAATGTATTTGTTTTAAATTGACAGGCGTCACCGTGTGGTGTGGTTAGGTATTCAGGACAAGAATTGTACACACTAACATGCATGCTTTGCAGCACTTCAAGTGTCCTTCAAAGCAAATAACGGGCCAAGTAAATGTCACATTAAAGCGTTACTTGAGAAAGTCATGGACAGCAAGAGGTTTCAGCGTGGCTTGCGGTGTCATTTCAGAAGCAAGCCTTAGTGTGAACTCTCGCCAGTACAGCGAGCACCTGAAGAGCAGCGTGACGACAGCAGGTTTCTCACTAGACTGTGGGGAATTAGAGCTGGGAGCAAATGAAATGCTAGGGGTGGCTGAGCTTCCTGTTCTAGTGGGCCAGAGGCTGTTATAGTATTTGAACAAACCCCTGACTGTAAGTATTAAAATAAGGCATCTAACTCTTGTCATGATCTTTGCATTTGCAGGATGGCTCTCTCTACCACGTTCAGACACAGAAATGCATTGAGGCAGTGGACAGGACTGACAATGGGAACCCTGGCCCCGCTCTCCGCTCCTGCTCGGACTTGGACTCCCAGAAGTGGTTCTTTGAAGAGAGGACATAGCAAAGGTTCTCTCTACACCTTTCATATCAGCTGCTCCAACTCCACAGCAGTTTATTGATCATTCCAATTCCTCCACTTAGGATTGATAGTGCCTTCCTGTTACAAGAGGTGCACAGTACAAGACTGGGATTAATGTGTTAGATTTTAACATTTCTGCAGTGTATTAAAATTCATCACTTATAATAGAGTCGTTCAGTTTTTAATCTTGAAACCTGAAGAGAGTGACCATTTTCGTGCCAATGAGTGTTCCCTGAAAATTCAAAAGAGTTTTGGATTTATGAGTAAAATAACACGTGTAAACATACGTTGAGTAATATAACATATAATATAAATATAACAAAATATATAAAGAAATTAATATTTTTTTTCAGCAAAGGTGCATTAAATTGATAATGTAATAATGATAAACAAATAGAAAACAGTTATTTTAAATTTTAATAATATTTCACAATATTACACTATTTTAGATCAAATAAATGCAGCCTTGGTGAGTAGAAGAGACTTCAAAAACATAAAAAAAAATCTTACACACCCCAAACTTTTGTACAAATAGACATTGTCACTGAACACATCCATGTCTCTGCAAAGACATAAACACTGTATTTATCATTTAATTTTACAGGAAGGTAATTTGAGTTATTTGAATCAGTCAGTGCTGCCAGCTCCATCTGCTGGTGTCTTATCCTCCCCTGCTATTCTGCAAAGTAGCTTCAATTAGAATTTTTCGACTTGACATTTTCCAGCTTCTAGCATTTTTAAAATCTCCCCCTCTGTGATTTGGTACCTGATGTAACTTAGAGCCTCTTGGCAGCTTCGTCGTGTGTTTATTTTCAGCTGAGTATTGAGTTTAGGGCTCAGATAAGCAGCAGTGATGGCAGTGGCACTGCTGCCATTCTCTTTACAACCACCAGATGGTGCCAAATTCTCCATTTTACTCCATGTCCTCCATGTTGTAACATCAGCTCATATTTACACTACATATCTGTAATTTCAGTAGCTCACTATGCGTTGACTGAGATGCTAGGTTACACTTTTTATACACAATTACAGTTAAAAATGTTATTTTAATATATAAATTGTTATATAAAATATTAAAAGTTATAAATTGTTACTTGTTTCTGAAAGCGTATGGCAGCCTACCTCTAGTCATTTACCTGCTGTATGTGATTGTTGGGCATTTGAAGGGAACAAAACAGAGCTGGATGTCACAGCAAATACTAGATTGTAGTGGCCAAAGTGCTGTGATTTTGCTTCATTTCCCCCTAAACTTGTAGAGAAACAGTGCAAGTCAGTTTGAGTATGTGGATATAATGGTGCTTTTCCACTGCGTTGAACGACTCGGCTCGGCTCACTTTACTTTGGCTCGGTTTCCTTTTCCACTGCAGTTTAGTACCGCTTCAAAGTGGGTGGGATTCGTCTACTGACCATGATACAGCCATTTCTTTTTTCAAGTTGCGTGTGACGGTCGTGTAAAGCAAGTCGTTTGAAAAAAGTTGTGCGAACAAATGATACTGCGGTGGGTGTTGCCGACTAGGCTATTTATATCTAGCGGGTTTGGCGTCTCGTGTCGCAAATCCACTGACGCTGGTAGTGATGATTCTCTCTGACCAATCAGTGATCTGCAGTGTTTACACATTACATATACACAGTGGAAAACCCCCCAAAAGTGAGCCGTACCGAGCCATACCATGCAGACAAAGCGCCATAAATGTCTTTAAATTCTGGCCATCTGTGGGTCAGTTTCTCATGCTGAATGATCGTTTCTGTCAGGCTAACGTCATTTGTCATGAATTTGTTTGATTCATTTTCTCAAGTTATTTATTAAGTAAGAGTGTGGTGCAGGGATTACGTATTTTTATAGGCCAACCCAGAAGTTAGCATCACCCTGGTTCCCTAGCTACAAAAAAAAAAAACAGGATTTTTTTCATTGGCTTTTGGATTATTGCCGAAAATAAGGTCTGTGAATAACAGAAGCTTATGATCCTTACATGTTTTGTTCGTACAATTAATCTTCACAAATGAACACAACTTTTATGGATTATGAATCGGCAAGTCAAAAGATAAACGTATATATGTAGTTACACCACAGTCGAAGGACTTCAACATCACCATCATTAAGCTTCAACAACTCTTTGGGTCTTTGTTTAAAAACATTTTCCCTCTAAGTTCGAGTTAGTGTGCAAGAGCGCGATTATGAACACAACGGGGCTGTGAAGGCGGACTAGTGAGTATGAGTTTACCTGATAATGTCCCGACAACCTTAGACACTTGTTAGCAACCGCCTTTTACAAGACAAGTAAAAGCTTTAAAAAATCACAAAACGGGATTACTGATATATTTTATATCATAGAATAAAACGTGAAATATCTTGAGATTGTGTTAACCACAGACCTTATTTCAAGCATTTAAACAAAAAAACATTAAAAAAAACCCATTGACTTCAGGACAATGGAACTGGAAATGTTCAAATGCAAACTCGTTTCCAGATTTTGGCCGACAAAAAAATGTCATTCCTGCACCAGTCTATTGTTGGAGTCAATAGACAATTTTTTTTTTAAATGAAAGGATTAGTTTAGTCAAATATTAACTCTCTGTCATGATTTACTCACCGTCATGTCATTCCAAACCTGTATGAATTTCTTCTTTGGAACACAAAAGAAGATATTTTGAAGAATGTACATACTGATATCCCCCCCCCCCCCCCCCCCCCCATAAGGGACTTTATAAGTTTCATAAAAGTGACCCATACAAGTCATGTACTATATTCATCTGAAGTCATATGAAAGTTTTGTGTGAAGAATGGGTAAAAAAAAAAAAAGCAGCTGCAACATTCAGCTATAAATTTCTCTTATGTTCCACAAAGGGAAATGTTTTTGAAAGACTTAAAGGCGAGTAAATAAAGACAAATGTTTTATTTTTTAAAGACATTTAACACGTTTGAAGTGACTTACAGAGTGTTCAAAGGAGGAACATTTTTCTAAAATACGGGTGAGAGGGAAGTTTTCTATGGTGAGGTTTATGGAGCATATATATATATATTTTTGCATTAGTCTATAAGGTGATGGGCTAACTTATCATTGTCAAAGGGAGAATTGGTTTACTGATGTGATTCTCTGAGGACATGTGACATGAGCTCAATACTGGACAGATGTTTCCAGGGCCTCAATAGATAGGAAGGCGATTGAGAGATTGATTATGATGATTATAAAATGAGAACCCATTATGTTTGAATCAGTAGGATTTTCTTTTCTATCAAAGCCTAAGAATGACAATGGGTTTGTTTGATGGGGTCAAAAAAGATGTGTGGATGGCTATAAGTCCTATTGAGACCATTTTGTCTATGGTCACTTTTTATACTGCATACAATGGAAGTACAAAACACAAACAATGATACATTCTCTAGATAAATGTGGTTTAAAGTTCATATTATGCAGTTTGATCTTCAAACATGCCCAATACTGACGCATAGTACCAACCCCCCCAAAAAATAAATGGCCAAATAAATAAATAAACAGTCGTGTTGGTTACAGCGGCAGTGAGTATGCACTTTTCTTGGAATAATGAATGATTTCTAATTTCATTTTACTCCTCATTTAATTTAGCTGAAGGCAGAATGTTTTGAAACCATATCTATGCTGGAAGAAAAAATCAGGTAGCTTTATGCTGTTATGTAAGTGACCTTAACATCAGAAATGAAGGTATTATTTCTCCTTTTCTTTTTTCTTTTTTTTTTTCTTTTTAAAATGCTTAAATTATGGTTACTAAAATGTCTTATTTCTAACTAAAGGTGCACTCAGTTTTGTTTGTTACGCTACAGTATGTTATTTGCAGTCTGCAATGATTAATTTATTCCGCAAAGTTTCTGAAACAAGATTAGTACTGCTGTATTTAATGGGATCATGTGATCTCAACATAAAACCGCTTTTATCAGGCATCTGATGTGAGTGTACTGTTCATTTCTTTGTGTGAAACGTTTTTGTGAGGAAGAAAAATGATTGAGTGCACCTTTTAATTGTAATGAAAATTGACCAATGAAAGTTGCTCTAACTTCAAATTGAATTCATGTTTGACATTTTTTACACATTAAAGCCATTGAATAACATCCCAATGTGTGCCTGTCTTTCTTCACCCACAACCGACAACCCCTGGCAATCTTTTTTTTCTGCTGTATTACACACTCCCGTCTCTTTCCAGCAGGCGTTTGATTTCGTATTCTGCCACGTCACTCGTGTTACTGTGGAAAATAAATGGCAAACTTTTCCCTTTATAAAGCACTAATCTCGTTCTCCCTGTGCATGCGCGTTTGTTCTTTCCGTTTATGCCGGAGTCGCAGTGGCAGAGAGACGATGGAGGTGTCATTGGCAGTCTATCTGACTGGCTTGAAGATGTGCAGCTGAGTATGAGGAAGCGCTCATGCCAAGATGCTCCTCATGCGCTCTGCCCCGCAGTCATTCTCAATTACTCATTCATGATGTGCGTCTGTTTGATATTTCATACTGTTTGTGGGCTTCTTTTGTATGGTGTCATCTGCCTCGCTCTCCGGGTGCAGGATGGGATTAGTTTGGAACACTCCGGCAGGCTTTAGGAAAAACAGGGTCATGGAATGAAGCTTTGGAAGCCGTCAGATCACACCAGCCCTGCTGCCAGAGAGGCGTTAAATGTGCCTTCCCTGGGAATCAGTGTGGAGAACCTTATTTTCGTCTCGCTCAAGCTTCAACTTCTTTTTCTTCGGCAACGGCGTCCGTGTTGGTACACTGTAGTCATCGGCAAATGGGATTACGACCACGTCACTTTTTTGCTTTAGAAAAGGCCATTAAATATTGAAATGATCTCGATGTTGAAAACGGCTCTCACCTCCTTCCTTGTGATGCGTTTGGGGTCTTAGATATATGACGGCAGCTTGCTCGCCTACATCCCATGTGTTGCTCGACAAGGTCTCTCTGTATACCCGAGCTTCTCATTTCAGAGATGGAAATAAGCTTGATTTGGCAAAGCGAGATGAGAAAGACACTGACAGATACACGTTATATCATTCTCTCCACTGTCTGTTCAGCAAAATCTGGATAGCCTTCACTGTGAACGACTGATTTCACCCCATGTTGCATTGTAAAGTCACATGTTTAGCATAAATGTTCAACATGCTTTCAGGCTGTGAAGCTTGACATACTGTAGCATGTGAACCCCTTTTAACTCTTTCCCCGCCGTTGATGGAAATTTCAGGCTTTTCGTGTTTTCACCGTTATACTGTAGGAAGCGCTATTACATCTTCTGAAAGAGTACTGAATCCCCAGAACACAACACAGACGAAAAAGAAGCAGAAACAAGCGATAGCATATCTAAGCAGATGCATATGTCAAATAAAGTGAGCATCAAACATTAAACTGCATATAAATCAAATCTGCCAATGTTACTGAATGACATGTTGACCCAGGACGAGGACGAGGTATTTGACGGTGAAGCTTTGGGGTGTTGATGGACTCAATCTACTTCATCTATTTGAACATCGTTCTGAATCTGTATGGATGTAGCCTTTGACAAAAATGTGATTTTCGCTCAAAATTTAGCTTTTTTTATGAAACTTTCAATTTTTCCCACATTCAAGTGTTGATAAAGAAAGAATCCATTAATAAAAGGTGTGTTTTTCTTTCTTCCATTTTTCATTAAATTTATTGCATATTCATACAACACAATATTCTGGGGGCGATGAAAATTGTGAAAATGATCAAAAATGCTGACTGCCAACTTAAAAAAAAATACTGGTGGCAAGGGAATTTATTTTAATTTATTTTACAATTTTTTTGTGTGAAACATGGCTCATTCAGGGGTTAACAGTGGCCTTAAAGTCACCATGAAATCAAAATGGACAAGTTCCTGATGAACAAGATGTTTCAGGCAATTTCTGTTTAATGACTGAAAAAGGTCGTCCCTGGTTAGTCTTTTAAACTTCTCCTCAACGTGCATGCAGTGTAAATAAAGCAGCTAGGCTACATCAATGATATGATGGCAGTCCACGCGACACCCCGTGCTAATCGTACAGCCCACTGTGCAAATTACAAAACAAAAAAATGGAAAATCGGTAAGATTTTATTTATTCGAATGATTGTTTCTTAAGTCATAATTTAGCAAAAGTAAAATTTGAAAAAATGGGAGAAAATGGCGACTATCCATTGATGATGTAAGCGAGAAAGAAGAAAACGTCTGGTTTCATGCCGCAAGCGCACCGCTGGTCATGTAACAAGAATCAACCAATCAGCTTCACCCTTTCCGTAACAACATTAAAAGCTCAGTCAACATGATGTGGAGTGAGCGGTTCATGGTTGCATAGCAACGACATAGGAGCGCAATCGCTTAGGAAAGGAGACAGCACAGCGGCACAGTCGCGCTTTCCACGCGTTTTTAAACGCGATATGTGAACGGCCCCTTAGAATGTTTTGTCTATCTTTAAAAATGCTTGAATTTTTTTTTTTTTTGTAAAAAAAAAAAAAAAAACAGCAGCAGCAGCACAACAGCATTGTCCAACGACAAACGAACGGACTGAAATTATTTATTTAATTAAACTGAAAATAGCGCTTAAAAATGATCCACGTTCTCTCTGCTACATCAGCCATCATGTGAACGCTTACAAAATGATTGACAGGCTGAGAGCACCTTTCAGTTTTTATTGCCTTGATATTGGACACTGAATTCAGCGATCTCTGTCTGGTAACGTTATAGGCTAGGTGTATTTTTGAGTGCTGTTTCCTTAAAAATCACTTAAAAGTCACTCAGCACCTGTAAACATCTGATCATAGAACCTTATTCTGGTTTCCTCGGTAACACTAAACAATCATTTAAAAAAGAACAAGGATGGATACTGTTGCTTTTCTAATGTAGACGCTGTAACAGATTAGACAGTTGTTAAATGTGTAAATTAGGCTACTTGGAAAAATATGATGGAGATGTTTTGAAGGACATTAAAGGTAAGAGTGTTGTATTGCAGCTATTAGCCTAACGTTAACTTACATGTTTAGATGGTGGCTTTGTTGTGGCCTGAAGTAAGACGTCATGCCTCCTCTCCAAGCTTTTTGAAAATTAGGCTATAGGCCTACTATTTGGGGTTATTATATATAATTTAACTTCTAATGGAGTTGCGTTCTGTACATTAATGCCCCACTTTTCCTTCTCTTTCTGCATCTTTCTTAAATGGAGGACTTCTTTTCATTTGCTATGCACTGTAGGCTATCCTTTTTAAATATCAGTTTATTGTAGGCTAGGGCCTACTTCTGAATTTCTTTCCGAGTTTCCCCAGAATTGGAATAATTTACACTATTTGTGTCTAAGGGGCCGTTCACACAGAACGCATTTTTACTTTTCCATTGTTTTTCTAGACTGACGTGTATAACCGTTGCGCTCGCGCCTGTTGCAGTCTGCCGCACGCTCTAAATACGCGGCGCTGCCCGCGTCTCGCGCTTTTCAAAGCAAAAAAAAAAAAAAACGCGTTCTGTGTGAACGAGCCTTAAGCCAACGTTATATATGCTCCAGTTACAATTTCCTCGTTTGATTTAATTATGGACAATTGCATTTACCCATCTCAGCTGTTTATTTCTCCTCAAGTCATCTTTCAAAGGGTCTGTGCAATAACCAGCCTCCAAAAAACTGCCATTACGGACACTGATGCCAGACAATCTACAAAGGAAGGTAACTTTGTCATCTTTGTCTGTTCCTTTATGATGTGAGGTGATGTCGCCCACAGACGTACACAGACTCTTAAGTGAATTGATTAGATTACCTTCACTAAAGCAGCCTCGAGTGCATCAGTATGGAAAGTGCCTGCTGCTCTTCACAAAGTCACAGAAGTGCAACTGAGAATCGAGTACCATTTGTTTTGTCCTTTGTTTTTTTGTTTGTCATTGAAGTATTGAGGTTATATTCAGTTGAAATTTTAAAGGGACCATATCATGTTTTTTCTTCACCAAGATTAGATTTTTTCCTTTATTATAATATTAGTTTTTGATCCTTATAATTAAATTAATAAGCTATACATGTATGATTTTAATGTAAACACTCTTTTGACATATGACATGAGAACTTACATTAAAAAGTTTGGGGTTTTAAAGAAATGAATACTTTTATTCAGCAAGGATGCATTTATCAAAAGTCACAAGACATTTATAATGTTACAAAAGATTTATTTTTCAAACAAACCGTTGTTTTGAACTTACTATTCTTCAAAGTGTCTCGAAAAATATGAATCATAGTTTCTACACAAATATTAAGCAGCTCAACTGTTTTCAACATTTCTAATAATAAGAAATGTTTATTGGGCTGTGAATCAGCATATCAGAATGATTTCTGAAGGATCATGTGACTGAAGACTGGAGGATTTATGCTGAAAATACAGTTTTGCATCACAGGAAAAAATTACATAGAAAACAGTTGTTTTAAGTAAGGGATAATGTACATATATGTTGTTAACACTAAATAAACCTCTACATGGTGACGCAAAAAGCTTGTTTCTGCCATGGAAGAAACAAGAAAAAGGTAATTGCAACTTTTTACCTCACAATTCAGATTTTTTTCCGCAATTGCGAGCATTGCTTTTTTCTCAGAATTACGTGATATAGGCTATAGTCACAATTGCAGAATTGTACTTTATAACTCTCAATTCCGAATATATATCTCACTTTTCTGAGAAAATAAGTGAGATATAAACTCGCAGTTGTAACTTGTGAGAAAAAAACTTTTGTCAATCATTGTGGAGTTAAGGAATAATATCAGCCTACCTATATCTTACAGCAAGCTGGTTTTGTAGCTTGGTGTTATTCTCTTTTTGGACTAAAGAGTAAGTTTTCAGTTCTACAAGTTTTATTTCCAAAGTTGAAGAAAAATGACATTTCTCATGATTTGACCCCTTTAAGCAGGATCAAACAGGTTTGTTATGGTGACACATTATGGGATTTCAAGTTATGCTGTTGTTTGACTCTTTCTTTGTATTTCATCAGATTTATTGATTTACAGTGGAACTCATATCCTCTCTTACCATTTCAACAAGTAAAGGAAATTGTCTATAGCATGTGATCACAGTGACTGAGGGGAAATCAATCTTGGGAAAAGCATATATCTTAGATTTATTTACAGACTTGTTAAAGGTCAAAACGAATTAAACCCATTTTTCACCATTTTTGTGTTCTTTCAAAAATGTTTGACCTTTTGGTTTAAATGTTGATCTTTCTCTCTCTCTCTCTCTTGTCACAGATTATTTGTCAACGTCTGTTAGTGTTCAAGGACAAGAATACTTCAAGAACCCTCAAGTTTATTTAAAAAACAGTCGAGGTCAGAAGAGCCTTGCAAACTTTGCAAGGGTGCCGTCCAAAAGCATGGAGAGACCGGATGTTAAACCTAGACGATCCAAGTTCCTCCCAAGGCTATACACCATAAAACGTGGACCTTTTGGTCACCTTAAAGCCATCACCAAAACAACTGACCTCAGGTTCTGCACGGGAATCAACCACCTTTCCAGAGACCTTCAAAGCTCAGGACTAAACGCTTGTTTTATCCAAACTGTAACGGCGACAAAAATGGTTTGTGGGATTGAAAGGTATAAGTGCGCAGGCTGTCTGTGCTACTACAATAAGCTGGAGCAGCTGATGGCACACATAAAGCAGGGCTGGATAGAAGGCTACAGCTGCAAAGCATTCTACCGTAAGCTGAAGGACATGCAGGACTGCAGGGAGTTACTGACCGTACGTGAAGAAAAAGCAGCAGCTTCTGAAAGCGACCCTCGGCTCAGTGCCTCCTCGAGTCTGAGGCAGAGCGCCGGGGACGAGAAGTTGAACATGATCCTCAAGTGGCTGCAGGACATAACAATATAACCAAGGTCTAAAGTCATGTCAAGTTGTTGGGAAGGATTTCATTAAAACTTTATGGCTGCTTTTTTTTTTCAAGTTTAGATTTTCTGAGACATTTTGTTGAAATGTCCTGGTTGCTTTTCCCCATATAATGACAGTGAATGGGGACATTCTGTCAACTTCCAAAAAGAAGCTCATAAAATCGGTCCATATGGCTTGTGCACTATATTTCAGATCATCTGAAATCATATAGACCTTATGCACCAGAGAAACGAGGGCACCGCCATCTTTAGAATATTGTCTTTGAACTTCCGTTTTTGCGGTCGCTCTGTATATTTCTATGGCATCGCTGTCCAGGAGTAATAAGCTGGTGAAGTTGATTTACTTATTGTAGAGTTAACGAAAGTTATCATGAGCATTGTAATGTTTATGATAAGAATTGTAAAGCATATGTCTTAACAAATGGACCTTGGGAATTTTTTTAACGAGCCGTTCATTCATAACTATGCAAGATCGCTGTGAAAATACAGACCGGAAGTCAAAAGACAATGAGCTCAGCGCTGAAAAGGGGCGTGGCTACATAAGGTCTATAGCTTTATGTGAAGAAGAAAAATGATTCACTGATAAACCTATTTTACTCTTTTACAGTTAAATCTATTTTGCACTTTAACACATTGAAATATGGCTGATTAAGATGTGTTGAGCCAAGTTTGATATATACAGGTCCTTCTCAAAAAATTAGCATATTGTGATAAAGTTCATTATTTTCCATAATGTAATGATAAAAATTAAACTTTCATATATTTTAGATTCATTGCACACCAACTGAAATATTTCAGATCTTTTATTGTTTTAATACTGATGATTTTGGCATACAGCTCATGAAAACCCAAAATTCCTGTCTCAAAAAATTAGCATGTTTCATCCGACCAATAAAAGAAGTGTTTTTAATAGAAAAAAAAAGTCAACCTTCAAATAATTATGTTCAGTTATGCACTCAATAGTCAATACTTGGTCGGGAATCCTTTTGCAGAAATGACTGCTTCAATGCGGCGTGGCATGGAGGCAATCAGCCTGTGGCACTGCTGAGGTGTTATGGAGGCCCAGGATGCTTCGATAGCGGCCTTAAGCTCATCCAGAGTGTTGGGTCTTGCGTCTCTCAACTTTCTCTTCACAATATCCCACAGATTCTCAATGGGGTTCAGGTCAGGAGAGTTGGCAGGCCAATTGAGCACAGTAATACCATGGTCAGTAAACCATTTACCAGTGGTTTTGGCACTGTGAGCAGGTGCCAGGTCGTGCTGAAAAATGAAATCTTCATCTCCATAAAGCTTTTCAGCAGATGGAAGCATGAAGTGCTCCAAAATCTCCTGATAGCTAGCTGCATTGACCCTGCCCTTGATAAAACACAGTGCACCAACACCAGCAGCTGACATGGCACCCCAGACCATCACTGACTGTGGGTACTTGACACTGGACTTCAGGCATTTTGGTATTTCCTTCTCCCCAGTCTTCCTCCAGACTCTGACACCTTGATTTCCGAATGACATGCAAAACTGAGCAACAGTCCAGTGCTGCTTCTCTGTAGCCCAGCTCAGGCGCTTCTGCCGCTGTTTCTGGTTCAAAAGTGGCTTGACCTGGGGAATGCGGCACCTGTAGCCCATTTCCTGCACACGCCTGTGCACGGTGGCTCTGGATGTTTCTACTCCAGACTCAGTCCACTGCTTCCGCAGGTCCCCCAAGGTCTGGAATCGGTCCTTCTCCACAATCTTCCTCAGGGTCCGGTCACCTCTTCTCGTTGTACAGCGTTTTTTGCCACACTTTTTCCTTCCCACAGACTTCCCACTGAGGTGCCTTGATACAGCACTCTGGGAACAGCCTATTTGTTCAGAAATTTCTTTCTGTGTCTTACCCTCTTGCTTGAGGGTGTCAATGATGGCCTTCTGGACAGCAGTCAGGTCGGCAGTCTTACCCATGATTACGGTTTTGAGTAATGAAACAGGCTGGGAGATTTTAAAAGCCTCAGGAATCTTTTGCAGGTGTTTAGAGTTAATTAGTTGATTCAGATGATTAGGTTAATAGCTTGTTTAGAGACCCTTTTCATGATCTGCTAATTTTTTGAGACAGGAATTTTGGGTTTTCATGAGCTGTATGCCAAAATCATCAGTATTAAAACAATAAAAGACCTGAAATATTTCAGTTGGTGTGCAATGAATCTAAAATATATGAAAGTTTAATTTTTATCATTACATTATGGAAAATAATGAACTTTATCACAATATGCTAATTTTTTGAGAAGGACCTGTATATTAGACATAGGCTACCATTCAAAAGTTTGACCTCGTTTAGATTTTTATGTTTTGAACGTTCTCAGCATGGCTGCATTTAAAAATACAGTAACATCAATAATATTGTGAAACTTTTATATTTTAATACAATTAAAATGTAATTTATTCCTGTGATGGCAAAGCTGAATTTTCAGCATCATTACTGCAGTCTTTGTGGGGAACAGAGCTGCCAGGACACGAAACGGGGGTGAGTAAATGATACAGAATTTACATTTTATGGTAAATTGTGCCGTTAATTTAACTCCCTCTGTTTATAATAATTATGCATAAGACTCTTCAGAATCTGAAAGGATTTTTTTTTTTGCCTTCTGAATGAAATGCTTAATCAGGTCGCAAGGTTGCATTAAAACCTAAAAATATCCATTGTGATGCTGCATCAATATTTAAAAATTATTCAGAGACAATTACTGGCACCTTAAGCAATATTACCGCTTCCAATTTAAGACGAGCCTGAGAAGTGTAGAAAATATTTCCATTATTGACACGGTGATGAGCACAGTCACAACACATATCACACTTGCATGGCAAAGTATGGAATCTGCTCATCTTTCCATTCCAAAACAAATGTTCATGGCATTTCCTGTCAAAACACGCATGTATCATTCTGGAAAGAGGGAAAAATCCACACATTTAAACCTGAGGTCAGTTAATTTCAGAAATCTATCTATCTATCTATCTATCTATCTATCTATCTATCTATCTATCTATCTATCTATCTATCTATCTATCTATCTATCTATCTATCTATCTATCTATCTATCTATCTATCTATCTATCTATCTATCTGTCTGTCTGTCTGTCTGTCTGTCTGTCTGTCTGTCTGTCTGTCTGCCTGTCTAGTTTTTCCATCCATCTTTAAATCTAATTTTCCATCCATCCATTATTATATCTATCTAATTTTTCCATCCATCCATTATTATATCTATCTAATTTTCCCATCCATCCATCATAATTTTTTTTATCTAATCCATCCATCCATCATTATACAGCATTTATCAAATTTTACAAACTTATCCATCCATTGACACACATAATGTCTTTTAGGGGTGTTTTGTAAGGGAGACAGTTGCTTGCAGCAAGCAAGACACGTGAGATAAAAGATCTGTGTGATGTGTCAGGCAAAGAAAGAGAAGTGTCCTCTGACAGTTTTTATTTTGTGGTGGGAGACTGAAGCACAAGTGCTTTGAAAGCTGTTTTACAAAGCATTCATGTGTCACTCATAGCTCGCACATGACAGCCACCTTAAAAGATTTGAAGAGATCCACTGCTGACAGGCATGGTGGCATCACTGTAAAGCCCTCATCTATTTTTCTGTCAGGAGTACAATCTTTTTGTTGTTGGATAGCATAGATTACATATTCTCTCTTCTGAGAATGTCACAGATTCCTCAAATTCCAAGGGAGATACTGCTGAGACATTTGCATGTTCGCTAAAGCCCATGTTTAGGTATTGCCGCTACAGGGCGTCCTGTCTTTCTCTGACAGGACGGCTGGTGTTTCCTGCCACAATAGATCGGTCGGCTGTCTCTGCAGTAGGTGAGTGGGCTGTGAAGAGATTGTGTGCAGGGGGTGCCGGTGTCTTGCCAAGAAACCGACCTTTTCAAAGAGGCAATCGATGAGGCCCAGCACCGGGGCTCCGGAACATTCAAGCCTGTCAGGTGGGTGGGAGGAAGTTCATACAGACAGCGGTGGCGTGCTAATTGCTCGGGCTTGCTGGCACCCCTACTGTTTTGGTGCAGATGGTGAGGGTCTGTGTCCCTGTGGTGTCCATACTAGCCTTAGGAGGGCTACAGTTCTCATACTGAAGTCTTGCCAAAGCATGCTTTTCTCCATATGAGGCCACACCTACAACCGGCACTCTATTAGCAACATAGCCACACTGGAAGCTGAAACTGCTAATTAAATAGGATTTCTGTAGAAAATGCGAGTGGAAAACTCACTGTCACTGTACTGGAGTGTTGTGGGAGGTTGCCAGGGCGTTGCCGCGTTGGAATGTGGTTGCTAGGTGGCTGCTAATTGGCATATTTTGAGCTGGCTTATTGAACAAAATGTTCGTGAGCCAGTGGCACCTACAGCAGCGTATTGACTCCGGGATAAATCCCATCCAAGTGATTGCTAAAGGCTGAAGAGAGAACATGTTTAGTATGAATATAAATTCGGACATTTTTGCCATGTGGTCATTGTCATGTGACCTACAGCATCGGTTGTGTTGCTTCACTGCCATTCACAACTCCTTTCCCGTGGCCACTTGATAGTAAAGTGTCCATTGGATGTGCACTTCAGAATCTCACCAGAAGTAAGTCATCCAGTTTTCGCCTACTGTTTTATGAGTTCTGTAAATTTGGACATACTATTCTTTTCACATACTGTTTTTTTGTTTACTATGTTTTTGGCTACTAGTCTATGATAGTCTATGATATTCTAGTCTCTAGATATGCCTTGGGTCTCTCCTTCAGTAAAAGGCCTTCTCACATCAAGACAAATATTCGATAATTGATAAATATTTTTATTTGAATGAATGGTTGTTTAATGCATCTGTTCAGACTGCCACAAAAATTGGCATGCGACCCGGGAGGTGTTCTAATCTCTTTTTCATTGCACTATACGAAGACTGGCCAACCAATACAATTTGCACTGTAACATAAACTAAGCATAATGTTTTTTTGTTGTTGTTGTAAATTTGTACGTTTTCAGACAAATCGCATTTTAAAATCAGACTGAATTTTTGTGCAAGAAAATGGTATTGGTGTAAA